GTAATGATCTGGCTGAAGGGTAATTTTTAAGCCACAAGTGTTTGACTGGAAGAAGCTACACCCTGTCAACAAACGTGGTGTCTGGTCTGAGCTGCAATGCAACACCCATACCAATCCAGTAAGCACCTGACTCCTCATGCTATCTTCTACCTTTTACAAGAACCAGATCAGACTGAAAATGGAGTACTGCTGACATATCACTATTACGATGGAAAGTATTGAAACCACATTGCTTAGTTCCACTAGTTTTAACCTTCATTGCTAAGACCTGCCATGCCAGACACATTGAGGCAAACTACTTTCATTCTCTTTGTATTCCACTGGTGAGATGGAAGTTCTACTTAAACAGCTTCTTCTCACAAACTACTGCTCTGTGAAACCAACTCCCAAGAGGATGCTTCCTTGATCACTACAATCTTAACCTGCTCAAGATTTTGGGTTAACCACCATTATCTTCTCTATATGTCCCCAAAAAGTGTACCTCTTACTCTGTAATCCTCTGCCTTGAGTGACACTTGAGCCTTGTGCAGAGTGGACATCTCTGTAAAAAAAAAAAAAAAAAAAAACCCTGATTGGAATATTTTATCTCGGACAAGCATTTCGAGATTTTAAAGAGAAATTTGCAGCAAGAAACTTGAATAAATATCAAAATAAATGACAACCCTGATTTAGTTTAATGCAGATGAGTGAAAGTAACTTGGGTATTGTTGAACTGGTGAAAAATATGGAAGTTAAGATAATGAAATTGCCCATGGAGCTCAATAACCTTAAATGGCAAATTTGAAATAGAGAAGCACTGTTTGATAAATGTTTAAAGTGGTTGTACTTTCAAACAAGTTACCCTTAAAAATACATCTATTTTAATCAAGCATTGGGAATTGGTGGCAAAAAAAAGTGAAATCATTTAGAAACTGACAAAAATTGATGCATTTGTGTTTTTTGTTTTCTTCGCATTTTTTTTTTTTTTTTTTTTGGGGGTGTGTTTTTGGGGGTTGTCTTTTTTTTGTGTGTGTGTGTGTTTTTTGTCTTTTTTTTGTGTGTGTGTGTTTGTCTTTTGTGTGTGTGTGTTTGTCTTTTGTGTGTGTGTGTTTGTCTTTTGTGTGTGTGTGTGTTTGTCTTTTGTGTGTGTGTGTGTTTTTGTCTTTTGTGTGTGTGTTTTTGTCTTTTGTGTGTGTGTTTTTGTCTTTTGTGTGTGTTTTTTTGTTTTTTTTTTTTGTGTGTGTGTTTTTGTCTTTTTTTCTGTTTTTAAAAAAAAAAAAAAAAAAAAAAATTGGGTAAACACTTTGAACAAAGCATTTGAAAATGTTATTTGATGTTCTATTAAATTTCTCTCAGAAAATGATTTCATTCTGTTTCAGTAATTTACATATTGTTCTGGAATTTTGAATTATCCTAACTACTTTTTTTTTTTTTTTTTTTTTTTTTTTCCTTCAACTTCTGTCCAAGGTGTCTGGATAATCTCCTTGGTTCACACTTGCCGATTCAGCTACTATGATTTTTTTTTCTGGCTGTACTAATGTGATAATTTCAATCACAACAGATCCCGCTTTGTATCTGCTCATAATAATTGTAAACATGTGCTCCAAGGCTAAATCTTTGTTTGCTGACAGAATGAAAGCACATATAGCCTATTAATAATTTTGTCTCTCCTGACTCCTGTCAGCTGTTTAATAATGTTAAATAAGAGTAAGTCTTCTATCTCCACTCAGTTTGAGGTGTTAACATCTTCTGCTGATGAAGCAGAATGTTTTGCTCATAAGTTCTCTTCCAATTCTGGCTCTTGACTCATCTGGAGTATCTTTGATTGACTTTCCACTTAGAACAGTGTTTTACTGAGTGATACACATATAATTCCAATCATGGTTTCTGCTATCATCTCTAGAATGGATCCCCACAAGTATGTGGACAATGATCTCTTCCTGAAATAGTCCTTAGGAAATGTGCTACTGAACTGCTCCCTGTTTTCTCTAAGCTCTATAATAAATGCCTTGCTGTGTTCCTCCTCTGTAGTGCCAGTCTTTAAGGACACTGAAACTTCTGATTCTTGTATTAACCATTTCTCCTCTTCCTCCTCCAACAGCTGGCTCTCCTCTTCCTCCTCCTTACAGACAGTTTTTTTTTTTTTTTTTTTTTTTTTTTTTAAATACACAGTGTGGCTTTAACTTCTCTAGGTCAACTGCTGATGATGTAATAGTTATTGCTGAAAAAGTCTGAAGCTTTAGATAAGAATAATTAGGCTGTTGCTCAAGCGTTTGACAGTGCTTAGCATGCTGGTCATTACAAGTTGAAAGGTTATGGTATGTCTGGACAAATTCTTGATGTGATTCAATCTTATCAAATCATAAAATTAAATTTGTCGATCTTGGTCAACGGTAATCCACTCCCCCACACTGGTCTTAAAGCTCCTTCAGACCACTGTGGTTACCATCTAGCTGACCTCTCACTCTTTAACATGTTGCTGATTGGTCTCTGGTATTGTGTTGATGAACATGGTTCCACTCAATGTAGCTGCTGTTTGTCTCCTTCAATCCTGTTACATCGTGTTTTTGATTTCAGAAGGTGAACAAAATCATTGAAGTAAACTGAAATGAAGGACAGGTCGACAAGGAGCTACCCCCCAAATTCTTTGGAATAAAGAATTAACTCTGGTTAAAAATGAAACGATTTGGCTTAATTTTCATCCTTCCTACTTATTGTTATAATCAAATGACACTGGGTATCTCGTTTGAAGTTTACAGCCTTTGTTAATAGCAACTTAAATTTTTAAGTTCTGGTCTTCAGGGCCAGCACATTGTCTTGGTTAGGAGGTCTCGGCAAACAATGTGGATTCCAGTAGCAGTAATGTGGGGACTCTTCAACTTGTCCAAACCTCCAGTTTATATGGGGTCCTGCATCTGGCAGGGGTGGGGTTGACCAGGGTCTGGGTTTGGTTATCTTCCACCTTTAGTATTTAACTTTTTCTAAAAGGCCTTATTTTCAAAATTGAGGTCACCCCCTTAACTCTAACATCCTTCACATTTCATTTTGCTTCATCTCTGGTGGTGCTAATCTCTCTTTCTTCCTTCTGCAACTTTCTCGGCATCCAATGTCAGGCACACAGCCTCTGTGATGAATCCAAACTTTCGGAATGTGTAGGTGAAAAGGATTTCTAGTCATTAATCTTTCTTTATCAGCTTGTCTCACATTGGTTGTTTTTAGGTGATTTCTTGATCAACCAGGCCACACAACTGGCCATCTATGGTCATTCCACAGCTAGTAATTAACTTTTCTTTAAAAATGTTATTTCAGTGATCACCCAGGTTTCTTTATCGACATTTTTTTTTTTTTTTTTCCAGGACCAACATTTTTGAAGCGACATTGTCTGTTTCTTATCAGTGGGAAGTGAGGAAGGACGGGTAGTCTTGGTTTTGCTCAATCTTACTGCATTCTGTTTAGTTAAATTTTGGTTCATTTTTCCTTTGAACAGTTCAGGATTTCATTTTATTATTTTGAAACCTGATTTTTGAACGCATTTTGTTTCGAATTTTCTTAACTTTTTCAATCCGCTTTCCTGCGAATTTTAGTAATTATTGTCCAGTTAGTGGTCTTTTTTTTTTTTTCTTCCTCCCCTTTTTTTTTCTTCCTCCCCCCCTTTTTTTTCTTCCTCCCTTTTTTTTTTTTTTCTTCTTCCTCTTTTTTTTTTTTTTTTTTTTTTTTTGATTAACCTTCTGAGGTCCCAGGATAGTCACTATTCTAGATCTTTTTGCATTTCTGTGGGTATTCCCCAGTGCTATTTGAACCTACATTATTCCTAATTTTCAGTAGTGATCACCTGAAGTCATCAATCCTTGATTCATTCTTCTGTCTTAATGGTAACTTGTTCAATTCAATAAAGTTAAATTGGCAGCTAATACCCCAAATGACCTAGTCTGTTGTTAACTGGGGCAAGGAATGTTTCATAAATTTTAACATCTCCAAAATGAAACTTATCTTAATTTTCTTAGAGAACGATTTTTTTTTTTTTTTTATTTTTGCCTTCCATTAGCATGGTTAATGCTAACCTCCAGGAGAGTGACTCATTGCACCATCTTGAGCTAACATTTTCCTGTAACATGAAAATTGAATATTGCTGTCACATCTGGTCTGGTGCTTCTATGTATTTAGAGATTTTTGATAGAATACAAAGAATCTGCAATGTTATTGGTTGTGATCTGGCATCTCAGCTTCGGTCACTTTCCCTCTGCTGTAATGTAGCTACCCTGTGCCTTTTTGTATATTTTCATGGTAACTGTTCAGATGAGTTTTTCTCTTTGATATCTTGACGAATTTACGCTGCAATACTAGATTGGCAGCTTCTGTCTTTTAATTCCTCTTCTTTTATTATTCTCACTTTAATGTTTTTATTTTCCTCATTTTTTTTTTTCACACTCGGTAACTGCCTTGTGTCTTAGTTGGCTTGCTTGAGGCAATTAAAATAAGCACAAGTTAAGGATGAGTCTTAGTTGTATTTCATTAACTGTAAGTTCAATGCTAACAGTTTCTTCACTTTTCTTGTTTCCCAGTCAATTTTGATCTTCAAAAATTTAAATGTCATCTTCTGTCTTCTCAATTCTTCTCGTCCTTGTATTATTCCCTTTTAATAGCATTTTTTTATACTCTCTAACACTCAGTAACTCCTTGCACCTGGTGGCTTTATTGCCTTGCTTGGGGTGAAATAAAAAAAAAAAAAAAAAAAATTTTTTTGAAGACACTATGACAATAATATTAACCACTATCTCAAAAGCTGTTTGTAGTGGGTCCTTTTTATTTATTTACTTTTTTTAGGCGATGCTGAAAAGACAAAATAATGTATATAAAATAAATCTAAAGAAAAACATTGAAACACTGTATATCTTCATATATTTTATTTACAAATAGTCTTTTTCTGGGCAATATGTCACACAATAATCACTTGTTAACAAGTAGTGCTGCTGTTTAGTTCAGAATTTTGCATACAATACAAAAGTTTGAGATTGGAAACTTCAAATGCAAGTGTCAAATATTGCTTTAACAGAGAGTAGCAGGAGGAGGCAGAGAAATGAGAGAGAGGAGAAAGTAAGATAATCTTTCTCTTCTCCTGTCAATCCAGAAAAAAAAAAAAAAAAGGGCATCACAGACTTGTGTTCATGTTAAAAGTTGCATTTAAACATTTTAGTTTTAGAAAACCAGAATTTTCTTAGGAAAAAATATTAAGAACTTTAATTTATTTTTATTGTTATTTAAGAGAAAGAAAGTTATTTACAGGAAATAAATAAAATAAAAAGAACTGGAGTTCAGGCAAAGAAATTTTATATTTATTTCTCAGCCAGTCATATTTGTAATTGCATGTTAATAATGCAAATTGAATTTTGGGGATGAATTTTTAAAACTTTTTTTTATTTTTTTTTTTTAACTTTACCTCATATGCCAAAAATGTATTAAATTTCTGGCAGTTTGGTAAAAAAAAAAAAATTCAATAATGTATGTTACATGAAATCATTTTGTCAACAGGAAGGAGAATGTCTTTAATTATTCCTCCATAGGGTGGTGTTTTTTTTTTTTTTTTTTTTTTGCTGGGTGGGGATTAAGTGAGGGGTTAACTGGAAACCTAAGCTAGACTGTGCAAAAGGGGGACAGACCTGTAGGCAAACCCATTCTTAAAAAAAAAAAAAAAAAATTTATGGTGACATTTTAAGGTTGCTTTAACCTTGTGACTGATTTAATTCATGTGTTAATTATGCTGATCCTAGAACTAATAGAAAGGGGCACTGAAGAGCTCTTGGCTCTACTCTTCCCAAGATTCATATTTCTCAGACCAAACCTTAGAATATTCAATATATTTCATTAACATTACACTTTTGTTCTGCCACCACAAACACGTTTCTGTAATGACAACACAGGAAGTTCTTACAACAAGAGCCTTATGTCCATTGGTAGGGCCTGTGCATACTACCCATTGAACCTCCTAATCAGGGAATCCCTGGGTAGTGTTTTTTGACCCTCACTCTTTTACCAACATACATTTATATGTCAGAAATTAAATTATGCACAACTATTAAAGAACAAAAAGTTTTTCATGGATTTTGATTTTTCTTCAAATCCATGAATTTGTTTTGTTCGGGCTAAGTGTCAAAATATAAAATTCAACATTATGGATAAAAAGTATTGAATGTGTTTAAAAAACAAAACAAAAAAAAAACAGATTTTTCTTGTTAAAAATTGCTGCAAAACATTGATTGATTTTAGATGGAATAATCTATTATTGCATGTGTCTTATTAGTATTTAGATACGTTGTATTTATCCTCAATTTTTCTGGTTGAATCACTTTTATTGCATATAAATAGTTATAGTAAAATTTGTATTTTATATGAATACTACCTTATGAAAATTGGGGTGGAGCACAAGACTCTGGCCCTGTTCATTAGCTACGTCTATAAGAAACTGATAAATCCAGAAATGGTGTTGAGTTTCAAGTAAAATAACTAAACTGACTGCGCTCTCTTCAAGGCTTTCATGATTGTAATTCCTTAAAGATTGCTTTCTTTCAAGCTTCCCTTCAACACACACAAAAAAAAAACACAAACAGAAAGTTTGGAGTGAGTAATAATAGAAAAGAACAAAATGTTAGTTTAATTTCAAAAGATTCCAAAAAGCTGGCTTAATTGATAATTTTGATTTTGTGCACTTATGTGAGGCAAGAAACAAACATCACAGCATTTCAAGACTTAAGACAAGATCTCTATCACACACATCATCAAAAACATTTGTGCTTTCGCCTAAAGCAGAATCTCGCCATTTTGAACAGGAAAAGAATTAAAATTTAATAAATTTTCACAGTATTCATAAAGTTAGAGTTTAAAGTTGTGTGGGTTTATTTTTACAAAAGAAAAAAGTTTAACAACTTAAATACAACAATGTCCAATCAAAATGTGCCTTTGTCTCAATTTCCCCTCCCACAACCAGGGTCTTGATTTCCTCTAAAAAAAAAAACCACCTTTCCTCTGTTGTAGTTGTACAAAGGAAGAGATGACACAAACTTACTTTAGGGCAGAAGTTGGGCAGCAAGGGGGTGGGGAACAATATAAGTAGGGAAGAGGGTCATAAACTGTTCTTATGCCACATCCACTGCTTGCATGCGTGATCAAAATTATGGGTTCGCCATTGGTGCTCCAATAATTTGTAACGTTCTTCACTCAAATACAGTGGCTTTCCTCGCCTGTAAAGAAATACAGAGAAAGTTATTTACAAAATAAAACTAAGACACTTCTGCCCAAATACTCTTTGGGAAAGAGGGTATGAATCCATCTCTTCCCTCCACAGCTATGGGTTAATTGGTAAGACTTTGGGGGGTGGGGGAATATTAAAATCTAGAAGTATTTTCTGGTTTTAAATAACCTGCAAAGGGCTGAGAAGCCATAGAAAAATCAATCTCAGTTTTAGTCTGGAGGGTGAATTAATTTAGGTTTAAGTTTATTTTTCTATTGACATGTCCATTTTTTTTTCACAAGAGTCGAAATGGACTCTGCAAACAGGGATGTTCAACATGTGTGCACTGTTGGAGGGAGGAATGGAATTGTGGAAAGTTTGGCATGGAGCATGATACTGATAGGGAGAGATAACGAACATGATTAAAAAGAATTCACTATAGAAATAGTGTTGTATTTTCTTAGTCTCCATTCCATGAAAATCTTAAAAGTACAGATTCACATTAAGCAGGATGGGAAGGTAGTTCTATATAATTCAGATACCATGACACAAACAGCTTTTGTGGTAAATCTGATTTGAGAAATGGGTGGTGATGTTGGACCACAATTGATTTCCATACTAACAAGGAATTCTAATGCCAAGCATATTTACTTGCTTTTGAAAACTTCCAGAGCATCCGATTTTGATAAATCAACCTTTTCACTTTTAAAATATCATATCAGATATTTATAATTGATTTCTTTTTGTTTGTTGTTAACAGTAGATTAAAAAAGTAGAGATAGGAAAATCTACCAAGACTTGGCAAAAGAATCTGTTTTAAGGTGTAATATTTTAACATTTATCTTTCATGACAATTCATCAAAAAAAGCTGTCCACTTAAGTTTTTCCCATTTAAGTTCAACAGGAATCCTATATATATATATGGTATGTAACCTGGATATAAGAGATTTTCTCTGGTCCCAAATTAGAGCCTGTGTTAATGTATATAAAATAGACCAAACCCTGATATAAGAGACTTCTTCTCTGGTCCCGACAACTCTCTTATATCCGGGTTACAATATATATATATAGGTAAGATGAGAACAAATAATTGTTACAACTGTTGGAATTGTACTCTAACTTAAAAGAGGGCTCAATACAAAGCAATATTCTTTATTTTAGGATATTACACCAGAAAACGCTACATAATTGCAGTCATGTTTTGATGTGAATCAATGCATCTCATCAGGCAATTATAAATGACTGGTAAGTGAAGAATTTAATGAGAAGCAAAAATTAAGAGGCTGCCTTTCTTAAATGAGTCATGATCCGTAGATGTAGAATCAATGACAGTAATCCGATGCCAAGCCTGGGCAGATGTAAATGGCTACAATATTGTACACCAGACAATAGCATTTATTTTTCCTAGGAAATGACAATCTAACAAAAAGCTAGACAAGTTACATGTCCTGTGAGTTTCAATAGACGTTTTTATAATTGATAAATAAACAGCCACTTTAACAAACCAGTGAATAATTTAAACATATACGCCTTACTTAGTAAATTAATATACACCTGTTGACTAAAGGTTCTTTAAGTGAGGTGTTAATAACAATAACCAATCGATGCAAAGTGTCAGCCAAATACCAATACATCCATACAAAATGTTACTAACACTACTGGAAGATTAATTCAAAATTATATATCTAAATTAATCTTACCAACAGAAAGACAAGCCATATAGAGTACAACTAAAATCTAAGAAAAAGTAATTGTCAAATTTTAAATCTAGCAGAATTGTAAGGTAAAAAGGTAGATTGTTTACAATTTACCATTAATTCAGATCTTTGGTTTAGTAAAGCATTCTTATCAAAGAACCTGATAATTTGCAATTTTTTCTGTAAACACAGAAAATTGCCATTTTAAAAATTTTCCATTTCACCTTAGGAGTTTTATCTTTGTATTTCTATAAGTATTATTAGTAAAGGATAATGTGTTGATACCACAGAATCTTGAAAGAAATCTTAGTACTAGCAACATAGAACTTTTCAACCCTTGGATTTTTCATTGTGCAGATAGAACAAAGATAAAGAGATTTAGTTAAACATTTGTTTAGCAATAAGCATTGGTCAGAGTTCCTATAATTACATAGGCCAGAATCCTTAACAATATTTTCCTTGGAACTTGTAATATGATTCAGATTATTAAATTGGTTTAAAATTTTATTATTGTGTAACTTTATGATTGTCTCAAGATTATTGGTGCAACTATAAATTAGTTTTAATGTGCTTCTGTTAAATATTTTACTAAGGGTTACTTTTAGAAAAATATTTGATCAATTGGAGGAACTTATGACCTAACTAATTGATTCAACCAATTATATCTATATAATAAAAATGCAATGATAATAATATAAGATTATAATAAAAACATTTTGAAATCACAACACAAAAGCTCTCCTATTTCAATACTATCATTGTACTTCTTCAGGCGAGGGTAAGTAACTGGTAAATGATTTTTAATCAAATTTAAAAACAAAGTGTTACCTCGTTACTATTTTCTATTTGCTGCTTTGGAAAGGCAATTATTACTCAGGTTTTTGTATCAATTTAAAATTTTATGTTTTTTAATAATTTTTCCAGATTATCAGTACAACTGTAGCTTTTGAAAAAAAAAATTATTAAAAAAAACAAATTCTTATGAGTGTCTAATACAAAGCAAATGTCAAACACTCTTGTTTACCTAAGCACTATTTCTACTATTTCCAACAGTTAAAAATTTTATATCAAGAGTACCAAGAATTCTTTTATAACTACATTGTACCAACATATTATTATTATTATTATTCACAATAATGCATACATAAATAGCACATCCCTTTCTAATTATTTTTTGAACTTAAAAAGAAGTTGTTAATACCCTTATGGAAATATATATATATATATATATAAAATAGAACTAGTACATCTTTAAATGACCCCTTCTTATGTTTACATGAAAAATTACAAATAATCAAATTTGCTGACAAAAAAAAATCCCTGTTAAATAAAAATGAGTGAATTAACTGCAAATTGCCAACAGTTTATTTTTTACCTTAAAATATATCTAAATTTTTAAAAAATTATGTATTATCATTTCTTATAGCCATAATCAATTAGTATATAATGCTCCACCGTCTACAGGTAATTTACCTTATTTTGTTTATACAGATTAAGTATTGCCATCCAGTTAGTATTATTAATATTGTATATAAATGTTCCACATTTTCAATTTATCTACAGGCCTCAAAGCTTCCTGAATATAAAAATTCTTTTAACATGTCATATTTGTCTACAATGACGATACATTTGTGACTGCCATATTTTCTGAAATCATCAATGATGGCCTATGATCGTCTTTATCATGACATGACCTTACTTTTCTTTAGCATAGATCTGACATTAATTGGTTAATCAAGACATACCCATAAGTCCATTTTTAATTGCCCCCACCACCCTTTAACTTTCGGAAAATAGGTAACACTCTGTGCTTAAATTTTCTTAATCATTTAATCACCAGTTACTTATCTCTTAAATGTGACAACATTAGGATCTAATTGTAAGAACTAATTTTGCTTTCATAAACTATACAACAAATGTTTTTTATCTGTCAATTTTTGGTTACAGAACTTAAAACCATTAACAAATCAAATTAGTGAAAGGGCTGCTTATGAAACTAAATTGAAAATATAAGAGAAGATTCAGTCATGATAAATATTTTTGGGTAAAGACTAAATACGTTTGATTATGAATAAATGGAATGAACTAATACTTTTTAGAGAAAAATGAACGAATAGAGCACAATTCTTAAAATATGAAAATTAAAAACGTTTCCATGTAAAATTATTCAACGTGATTTAACAAATGTTTCAAAACTGACTTTATTTTGATTTAGAAAGACTTGTAAAATTTCACTAATTTGTTTTTGTATTTATTAATTTTTAAAACTAATTTTTTTAAAATTTATTTCTTAAACATTTTAATCATGTTTTTATTATGCTACTTGATTTTGTTATGGATTTAAAAAAATTTTTTCACTTTAAATTAAACTGTTAGTTTGGAGGCAATATGTTCTGATAATGACAAAGATGATATCTGATCCCATAATATAAGTCACACATTCAGACGAGACCAACTGTGAAGGGGGAAGAAATGTAATTAAAACCTGATACTAACCTTAACTCTGCATCTTCCTCACCATGCTTATCCAGATAAACGGAGCCCCACAATGCTGCCCTGAGTCCTCGGATGACAACAACAGTGCTGGAGTTAACAAGCAGAAACACGCCAGTTCCTGCCCCACAAGATATTGAATGCTGAAATTAAAAAGAGTGGGAAGAAAAACTGAATAAAATCAGGAAATAAAAATAGTATTAGTTGTCACATAAATACAGCAGTAAAAAAAGAAAAGTTATTCAGTCTTTTTATAAATTATTTGATTGGACAAAACAAGCTCAATTAAAAACCTGCCTCAATGAAATAATAGCCAGGTTTCTAGACTTATAAAACAGGGTTGGAGGGACTTGATTTTTCATTTGATTTGCTTTCTACGACTTAACCCCTTACAGGTTATTTGAAGCCAGAGAATATTTTTAGAGTGTAAGAAAAAAAAAATAGAGATAATGCTTTAGTGAGAAAAATCTTAATTTTAATTAACCCATAGTTGGGAGAAAGTGAATTCCTAATTTTCCCAAGGGTAATTGGAACTCTGCTTTATGATTAACAATTCAGAACCATTATCCATTACACCACCTGCACATCCCAGCTTACAGAATCTGATATTCCCAAGCAGTCACCCATCTACATACTAACCAGACTTTATATCGTTTAACTTCCATGATCATATGAGAATTGGTATTTAGGCATGATGTGGCCATAGACCTCTTCCTGACAGGGCCTATATATTCAATAATGAAATTAATTAATTAACTATCTCTCTCTCTATATATATATATATATATATATATATATGAGAGAGAGTTGGAACCTCTGTCTGTTTCTTTGTTATCAAACTCCTCTTAAGGTTTTGGAGATAAAAACCCCTGCCAATCACCCTGTATATTCTGAAACTACATTACCCAGGGTACTTAGATAAGTATATTTCATCTTGATCAAAGGGTGTCCCCAGAGGGCACCCAACCACCACCACCATTGAAATTCTCTTTTCCCTTTCATTTAAATTAAATTTAAACAAGGGAATGACTATAGAAGGACAATACCAGAAGATGGAGGTCACATTGACAAGAACAAAATGAGACAATATGGATGCCAAGCTGAGCAAGAAATCACCTTACATTACATATTTGTTACAACAATTCAACTGTCCTATCAATGTTGAAATCTGCTCATCATTTCATTGAATCAAGTTTTGCATCAAATATATATCAAAGAAGTCAGATCAAGTTGTTTTTACACAAACCCTCTACTGAAAAGATTTTCCCTTTGATTTAAATTAAATTTAAATAAGGGAATGACTCCTATCCAAAATATAGGAGAAAGCCAGAAGATGGAGGTAACATTGGCAAAATCATTGAGTAATATTGAAATGCACCATTTTTCTCTACAAATTATAACAATGATTTAAAATCAATCATTTTCTTACAAAAAAAAAAAATAGAAAAACGTGTGGCACACAGCAAGGCGCAGGTAGTTTGGAAAGTTAAATTTTCCTTGACATTTTATCTCTTTTTGCCTAATCTATCTTGATGGCATATTTCAAATTTTAAATAACCAACTCTAGAAAATGCACTAAAGGTTGAAATAGTTTCAGCATCCTAGTTTAGTAGGTGTTAATTAAATCAAAAAAGGTATGAGACTTAACAAATATTAAATCCAGAGGCTGGCTTCAAACTTTTGGCCTATAGTATACCTACAGTTTAGATATTTGTTACATTAAACAGTCTTACCATTTCCTTCAGTTTTTGTGAATATCAAATATAAATATATATATATATATTTTTTTTTTTTTTGACTGACGGATGTGGCTCTTTGCAGCAATGTTGGGTTTCAATTAAAGATTTAATTTCCTGAACATTTTCGCAAGTCACTCAATTCATAAACACAGCTCATATTGTTTGTCTAGAGCATAAACTGCAACTATTCTCACCTGAACACATTCATAAACCGAGTCTTGCTGGCAACAGGACTCCCTGAAGCAGAGAAAGTGGGCACACACAAGGCAGATGGCTGGATCCTTAGGGGTGGTACTGCACACAATACACACCCTGTCCCGATACTCCTGGAATATTTTGTAATACTGGCTGGGAAGAGTCAGCAGATGTGGTTGGTAATAAACATAACTGAATGGAAGGAGGTACTGTAATAAAATAGAACAGTATTATCAATAGTGCCGAAAAAGAGAGAGAAATAAAGAAAGAATTGAAAAGAAAAGCGACATCACACAAAGCCAAGGTTGCAGCACTTTTGACCCCTCCTCCTTCACAACAATCATTAAAAATGTAAACATCTCCCTATCAATGAAAGCAGCTAAGATAACATGTTTGAGGGAATTAACTTTTGATGAATATTTCTTTCATTTTAAATTGCAACTCAGTGTCATTATTTAACTCTTAGTAAGTAATGGTTATTTTCTAAGCATGGCTTAGATGTGGCACAAGGCCGAAAGTATGGAGCACCTAGTGAGGATCAAACTCACTTTTCAGTCATAACTGATCTAGTGAGACAAACTCACTAACAATTATGCCACGTCAAAGTGCCCAACTCTTAGTAAGTAATGTGAATGGAAATTAAGGTTTCCAAAGAGAATTACTTACATCTTTGGAAACCTATTTTAATATGACCTCTATCTGATATGTATATTAACACAGATGATAGTAGTAATATTGAATTTCTTAGATTAAACATTGTCAGCAATTTTCAATATTTTTTTTTCTTCCATCTTCAATTGCTCTTTATTGCAATTCCTACACCAAACCAGAATTGTTAGAAAGACTTCTATTCAGTCTGCAATGTTTTAACATAACAATTTTTACTTGAGCTTCTTAAAGCTGTTAAGTTCCATCACCAGTTTCATTTAGTTTTCTGGTTCTTTCTGGGCTCAGATATAGCTAAACCACAATTTATGATTATAAAACCTAAAGATAATCCAGATTTCATTTTCTTGGCAAATCTTAAAAAAATAACTAAAATTAACATTTTTCATAGTAATTTTATCCAAAGAGCAAATCTATTTTATATCCACTTTAAAAAAAAAAAAAAAAAAAAAAGGTTGTCATTTTAATTTTAATGAAAGGCATTTCCTTAGAAGCTTGATAACCAACTCTAATACAATCTAAGAAAATGCTGTCAGTATTGCCTAGTTCATATATCTACACACAGGCATGGATCACCAAGTTTGTTTCCAGAGTCATTAAATGAATTTTGATCTGAAATATTTGATTGTTATTGTTCATATGGTGAATATCACATCAATGTCAGGCTATAAACTTAACTTCAGACACACACATTCCAAAATGATTTTGTGAAACACCAACAGATTCCTTAAACTGTTAGTGCCTACCATGAAATCCAGTATTCATTATAAAAATCCAATCCTGTATTTCTTAAAAAAAAAAAAAAAAAAAATCAGTTATCAGTTTCTTAAAAAAGTCTGGCAGCAATTGTCAGTTTCTTAAAAGAAAAAAAAAAAAAAATCCTGTATTAATTATAGGTGTCTACCTATGACCCATTGATACCCACTGTACCATTTTTTCCAACAGTGGGCATTAATGATAGATGCTTACCTGGTTCTTAAAAGCTCGGTTTGAATCGATGGCTATAGCAAGTTCGTTGAGCCAAGACCTTGTGAGTGGCAGTATTTCTGGAACTGAGAATCTCACAAAACTGTCAGCTTTGGAAGATTGTTCAACAGAGGCAGATGATGCAGCTGCACCCCAGGGAGAACCAGGACGAATGGAACCAAGGAAGGAGCCAAGCCGGAGGTAGGTACAAAGGTAAGTAAATTCCGAAGAACACTGGAAAGAGAAAGAGAAAAATGGAAATTAAAATCCACTTTTGACAAAGTTTAACAAACCAACCTAAGGTGTGTCAAAGGACAGTTTTTCTTGACCCCGCTATTACTGTATATTCCCTTTTTTGTGGGCACATTTAACTTCACCAAATTATGCTTGTAAAGAAACTACCTGATAAATAGTGTTTAACATTTTTGCTGTCATTTCTCAAGAAAAAAAGTTTATAAATGCACTCAACTGTGGCCAGAAAAAATAAAAGAATTGCCTGGAAAAAGCAGTTTTTTGGGGTTTTTTTTTTTAAAAGATTAGTTACTTGGCTTTGTGTTTATTTCAATTTTCTTTTTCTCCCGTTAAGACATTTTTATAAATTTATGAATAAGAAAATTTTTTTCATAGTTATTTCTTTATAATATGGTAAATAATGAATATTGCTTTTCAGTTGGTTCCCGTACTTTGTTAATCTAATAAATAAATAGTTTTTAACTAACATTTTTGCGGTCAATTCTCAAAAGAAAAACAGGATGTATAAATCCAGATTCATGTTACGGTTTTGTTAAAATTGTCAAGAGCTTTTTGCAACAATAAAAATTACCAAGAGAGTATATGATAATAGCGGTATTAAGAGAAAAACTGTCCTTTTGATATAGTGTCTTTGCAGATATGTTTAAGTCTGCTCCACTGACAGGGGATTAAAAAATGGCATTTAAAAAAAAATAAAATTACAAAATAAAAATATATCTTGCCCTTGTAAATGTAAACAAAACACAGAATACAGATTTGAATAATTCATGTCATAGCAATATCTGCTTTCAAACTTTCACCATTACTTACAATCCAATGTCATTATATATAAAATAATGTAGTTTTTTTTAGTCATGTTTTTATAATATACAACTTTAGTGCTAAAATTTGACAAAAGAAATTTCTATTTAAAAAAACTAAAAAAAAAAACTAAGTTTGGTGTTCAGTTTTTCATTTTTATTCTTTGGCCCCAAATAATTTTTTCTTTTTTAGTGAAGAAAAATCATTAATTTAGATTGGAGGGGAATAAATGAAATCTTGTCTATACAAAATTTTTGACCTTTCTACTGAGAATTGGGCTGTAAATGGCTAAATGAAAAATTTGGGAAAGTGACATTTGATACCAAAAGTTCCAGTTGTACATTTATGTAAAACATACAGAAGAGGAGGTAAAAATAAGTGAGTGTTGGGTAGGAATAAATAAAGGTCAAAGGAAAAAAAAAAAAAAGAAGATAAAATTATATAATAATTGAATGAGAGTAGAATAAAATGGAATAGAAGTACAAATAAAAAAAAGGAGTGGGGGGTGAGAATAGAATAAATGGTGGTGGGGATAAACAATAAAATAGGGTAAGGTAAAAATAAGAAAAAAAAAAGGTGTAAGAAAAAAATAAACCCTAAAAGTTGAAAACCTGAGGGAGGGAAGTTGGGGCAGAGGATGTGATATTGGTAAGAAATTATTTCTTTTGCTTATCCTTGCTCTTCCTATCACTTAGTTTTAATATTTATATCAAAATGTCCATTTTTAAAGCCATAAATGACTAAATGAAAACTTTGGGGATCAAGTGTCTATCTGGCTGATGTATTCCAGGTTCAGATTCAGTTGAAATCCGACACAATGTCCATAGACCAATTTACTTTATTACATGTTTTAACAAAAGTAAATTGAACTGTGAATGATTTTTTCAGAGTCTGAATTGTCTCACATTTTATAACAAGCAGTAAAGCCTAAAATTAAGATCTTCAATGCAATTATATACAATCCAGAAATAGTAGAAAGGAAATACAGTAAATAAATAATAAAAAATGTTTGGAATCAAGTGGCCCTTGGCTGGAAGCTAGGTAATTCCAGTTGCAGATTTATATAAGCAGAGTCACAGTTAAAATGATCAGTTTTTGAGCCACCAATCGTCAGCTGTCAGTCGATATTTAGAATGGCAGACTCAGAAAAATGCACAATGTGTAGTAGAGATAGGTAGTGGGGTGAACAGGTGAGAATTAACAGTTGGAGTGACAGGGAGAGAAAAGGTTAAAGCAAGAGAGTCAGAGTTTTCACTAGCAGAAAAGAAGATTTGGTGCATTAGCCTATCATGACAGAAGACCAAATTGTCACCTAACACCCTTCCCTACACTATGTCAAGGGAATCTGTAAATAAATAACCAAATATATTGGAAACAAGTCTTCATTTCTTTTCACTATCATTCATTTGTGAAGGTGCATTGGGCCTTTCCCAGTTTTTGTGTACACTGACACAAAAACCCAAAATGGTGGAGGCAATTTGTCCAGTTGGTGAAAGTGAGTAAAGACTCAGGTGTATGCTCTTTCTCTCTCAAGTCCTGTACACTCCAAGTAGAGAACATAGAGGGGACACAGCCTCAACATGCAAGGTGGTGTTGCTGTAGTTTCTATAGCAAGTAGGTTTTTCACAGGATGGAGTTTCTAGCCCCATATTCAACCAGTTTTACATTCAGAATTGTTCTTCTAGACTGGTTGCCAAGCAACTTTGAAGAGTCCAATCTGCCCTCCTATTGAACTCATAGGTGGGGGAGAAAAGTGGATTCATACCTTTTGGTTATAAAAATGAATGTACTGAACTCAACAGGAATTTGAACTTGGTTTGCTGATTTGTCTTTCTGAAACACTAACCATTACACCACCCACACATCCACAGATCTATGTTACAAGCTCCCAATGGCAACATTCATTTTTGTTGTATTTCTTTTTTATATTCCTTCAGAATATTCAGTGTCCCTTTCTGAGCGTTTAATAAATTCTACCCATGATATTACGGCAAGTTAAAATGATCAAGACTCACAAGTGATTTTCTTAATCTGGCTTGTTAATCAAATATAGAGTAGCTATAGCACAGTTTTCAAAGAAAGCCTTGTCATCTGGGGTTGGTGGGTGTACGGACAGCATTGTCATCTGGGGTAAGGGGCAGCATTTTACAGTTTTCAATATCAGAAAGAACATAGAATTAAATCCAATTTATATAAAGCAAAAATAAAGAAATAAAAGAAGAAAAAATCAGGCTCAATAAATTTCCCCATAAATGAAATATTGCAAGCTTATCCTTACTCTGCCACTATTTCCATGGCAAATGCTAACATGAGCTGCAATCTTTCGTTTCACCAGTTCAAACTTTCACAGCTATGACTACATCCACAGAGTCAAATCATCCTCATTTCCTCCATATTCCAATTGTAAGGAGAGAGAAAGTTCCATTCAGCTTTTTCTCCCAAAACTGCTATTTGCGGAACAGACTCCCATGTGGATGCTTCCCTGAACACTATAATTTTAACCTCTTCAAGTCAAAGATCAATTGTTATCTTTCCTCATAGTCTTCATAATCATCACCTCCTCTTACATTCATATCACAGACCTTATTCAGTAGGCCGCAACCTTGAGTGAGTTTTAAACTGTATATTGGGTGAATTTAGTTAAAAGAAAGTTTTTATTTAAATTTAATTTTTTAAACTGCAGAGGTATATTTGAACAAAAGCAATATAGGATGAGGAAGAAAGTGATATGGTGAATTCAATTTCCTCCACTGAGACATGAGTTACTTGGAAGTCAATTTCCATTATATATATATATATAAAAAATGGAAATTTACTTCCAAGTGACTACATAAGATAGAATCTTCTGTCAATTTTAACATATGAGGATTCAACTATCTCATTCAAATTTTTTTTATGTTTGTGTCATACATAGCAGTAGTCCACATATCGTGCAACAGCAAGGCTCCAAGCTGGTTTGAATTAACAGTTTTCCTTCTAGAATGGTTGCTATCCAAGGCTATAGAACCCAGTCTGTCCTGCTATTTACCCATAACTGGGAGAAGAAATGGATTCATACTTTACCCAAGGGTATTAGCACGTAAGTGAATATAATGAATTCAATTTGAACTCGGATCCCCAATTTCTCGATCCAAGCAACAATCTGTTACTCTACTGTACCTCCTGGGTATGACAATAAACTATGCTCAGCACCAAGGTCTCTGAACTTGAGTTAAGTTTTGAGGGGCATGGTAATATATTATATGCACACACACATACACACACACACTAGGTGTAACAGCAAAATAGTCCTATTGTTAGATGAAACTTTGAACTGTCATAACTTAGAAATGATTAAAGATATCTTACTGGAATTCTCCAAGGTTTTTTCTTAATACTATTGGACTCTACTTTGAGCAATAAGAATGTATAATTACTCTCCAAGCTTAAGAGAAGAATCGTGATGAAATCGATCATAAACAAATATGATATGTTCATCATTGATTAATCATAGCTAAGGATTGGAAGCTCATAAAGGATTGAAATAAAGTGTGTGTGTGTGTGTGTGTATATATATATATAATTATTTCAGGATCATTTTCCAATTTCTTCAAGATGATCTTCACCCTCTCTAACCTTCTAACTTTCTGTCCTGGAATAACAAGGTGCCTCACAGCTTTCACTGCTTTGGACTGTCATAGCTGAAACTCCTCTCTCACATACCAAATGCCTTATGAAACGAGTTAAAGCTAAAATGATCAATTTGAAAAGATCTAAATTGAAATGATGATCCCTCTTCCTGTTGTGACTTCCTGATCCACTTTTTTCTCTCTACTCTTCCCTCATTTTTTAACTTATTCACTATCCTCTGGATGGTCCTTGAATGGATTTGAAGATGGAAGCCATGAATGTTGGTACCATTTCCAAAGGCCTGAAAGATCTTTTTCCTCTCACCATTGCTCATTTGGGAAGCTAGTGGGGCTGATACAAAAAGATTTTAACCTGTTCTCTTTCTAGCTGAATAACCCAAAGGGTTTTCCAGTGATTCTTACAATAAATAGTGTCAAGATAGCTAAATGTCTTCTCTAAAAACCTGAAAAAAAACAAACAAACAAACAACAACAGCAAACAAACTCAATTAGTTTAGTAGTTTTTTTCAATATTAAGCATTTTGTGGGAATAGACAATTATGTTGTTAAAAGATTTGGACAATTTTGCTGTCATATCTGGTATATATATTATGGGGAAAATTGTGAAAATGGCCTACTTCGGAAACGCCCGCGAATCTGTGCAACGTGCAAACTCCGGTTGCTCAATGGTAAAAAGAACCAAAATGGCGGCGCCCATGTTTTATGCCAGATGGTCTTGGACAGTTAACGCGAAATCATGTAGTCTCGTCATTTGCATGCGAATCGTGGCCGGTCCTCGGCTGTATAAAGCAGGCGCGTTTTTCTGTTTCTGAGGGACTGGGTTTTTTGCTCGTGAGAAGGTTGGACGTGTGACTGTTTTGTCGGTTACCCTCCTCGTGTTTTTCCTATCTGCTACAAATACAATGCCAGGAAATATATTTTACCTACTATATTAGTTTGTTGTAGCCAAAAAAAAAAAATAATTTATAACTACAATGATAAACTTTCATTATGGAGGAAAAAGATTCTTACTTTGCCAGAAGGGAGTTCCTCATTAAAGAGATGTCGCTGAAGCAAAGCTGCTATTTGCAAAAAGGGTAGCAAGAAATCCTCTACCATAGTTTCAACTGTGTCAGGACTCCACACCCACTGAGAAATCTGGACAAGGAAGCAATTAAAAAATTCAATAAGTAATGAGAAAATCATTTTTACAAAAATAGTTTAATCCAATAAATAATCAAAGAACGTAACTACCAGCTCTTCCATTGGGTCATCTTTAGAAAAGCTATAAATTATACAAGCCATTTCCAGCAAAGTTTAACCTTTGTACCCCGCTAAAAAAAGAAAAAAAAGAAAAAAAAAGAAAAAAAAAAGAAAAAAAAAGAAAAAAAAAGAAAAAAAAAAAGAAAAGTGTGTCAAGGACGGTTATTCCCTTGAAACTACTATTACTGCATACACTTTTGACTCCCTCAGCCATATTTACTTACAAGATTATAGAAATATATGAACCAAACAATGCAATATTTATTATTTACTATTTTATAAAGAAATAAATATGGAAAGAAATCTTATTCAAACATTTTTTTAAATTACATAGTTATTAAAATATGTAAATATTATTTACCATTTTATAAATTAATATAGAAGAAAATATGAAAAAACATGATAAATATAAATTAAAAGAATGTTTGGTTAAGAGGAAGAGAATTAATTTTTTAAAATTTATAATTACAGTTATTCGTTAATGTGTTTATATAAATTTTCTTGCTCAGATATTTTTATAAAAATATGAATAAAAAATTTTTTCACTTATTTTTTTTTACAAAATGGTAAATAATAAATATTTCATTATTGTTGACTCACATATTTTTATAATGTTATAAATATAAAATTATTCTAGTAAATAAGCAATCTAATAGTGTTTAATATTTTTATTGTCAATCACCAAGAATAAAGAAAATGTATAAATCCACTTTCATATGTTTGGGTTTTATTAAAATTCTAATTATCACTTTTTAAAACTAAACATTGCTAAAGTTAGTAAAAAAAAAAAAAAAAACTGTAATAATTAATATCAAAGGAATAACCGTCCTTTTGATGCAGCTCTTGTTTTTTTTTGGTTTTTTTTATAGGGATGAAGATTAAACATGGTTGCATTTTCATCTTCCATATATTTATAACTTTTACTGTTTCAAGCCAATAATTTCAACAAAATACATACCCAAGTACATGTTGCATTATCAAATGGTGTTTTACAAATTGTTGAAACCTTTTTACTTGTATGAAATGCAAAGTAATTTCTAAATAGACCAGACAAAACGCTTAGCCATGAAATTTATAAACTAAAATGTTTTGATTAAAAAACATTAAAATAAAATAAAAATGTCAATCAAATTGTGCTCAATTTTTGAGAGGAAACATTGTCAATTAATTTTTTTTACTATATCTTTCATGTTAGTTCAGTTACACATCTGGGAGTTGTTATACAAACCAGCAGGAATTAAAATGAAATACTATTAAAAAATTAATAATTAAAAATAATTTAATCTAAGAAATTTGAATACGATTATATCTAGTTTAAAAAAATATATAGGAACAAGATGGCAGCCTATGATGTTCATATAAGTAAAGAATGGAGATCCACTTTCTAAAATCTGACCAAATGACTAAACATTACATTTTTTGTGGGTATAGCTTCTTGGTTGGGCTGTGAAATTTTCATCACCCCATTTTACAGCATTATGGCCAGATTTGAATGATTTACTGCTTACTTAATGATTATAAAATGAAGATCTGATCTGTGTGTGTGTATATATATATATATATATATATATATATATATATATATATATATACACACACACATATATATATATATATATATATATATATATATAAATTAAAAAAATTTACACTACCCATCAATTTTAATTTCATTTCATTTTGGAAGTGCTATCTGATGATCCAAGCGTCCTTTAAAAAAGCTCTGGTGAAATAAATTATTATAATGGTACCTCAAAGTGGTCTGTTTTTCTTTAAAATTATTATATATATATATATATATATATATATATATATATATATATAAATAATAGTTACTTCAAACATTATTAAACTGGATTATTTGAAATAGACTTTTTTTTTTTTTTTTTTTTTTTTTAAACTTCAGTGTATATTATGTCTATTGGCCTGTCCTGCAAATTCAAGAAATCTTAATAAAGAAAATCATCTCTCCAGCAGGAATAGAAGCTGCATTCCCCATTTGTAAGAGAATTCCTGCTGGAGAACACATTCTTTATTAAGTTTGTTCAACCAACTGAAACTTGATAGACACACTGTTTGGAATAAAAATAGTGCATCTATTTTAGAAATGAGTATCCACTATAATGACATTTAAAGTAATGAAAATCTCATACTGACACACACACACACACACACACATAATATATATATATATATATATATATATATATATATATCTCCACCATTAGTAAAATTCTTTCTCCACTTTGTATAAATCAAAACCCAAAGATGCCACCTGACACTTCAAAAGTATTTTTTTTTTCATAGGAAGAGTGAAAATCTTTAAAACACACACTACTCCTACTCACACAACCTAAGGAGATGTCTTTATCATCATACAAATGACTCAGTCGAAGCCGAGTGATCACATGACTCATCATGCCACCAAGGTCTTGCAAGGAATTCTGAAAGAGAAAAATGATTTACAATAAGTTCTACATGATTTGCAATAATTTCTCCTATTACTGTGACGTTACTTACCATATAGTCCAAAGTGAATAAAAAGTAGACCTACTGGAGCATTGATAAATAAACATATCAGCTAGTATCTTGAGGGTAACGTGTAGTGATAGAAAACTAAGCAAATAATAACAAGTAGACCAAAATTTCACCATCTCTAAAAATAAGTGTATATTCAGAATTGTTAGCCCATGAAGTCATATTTTGGCCAAATAATTAGAAACTGTCCCAATCAGGATATAAACATCATAGTTTAGTGAGCAAATCAGAAACAAGATCTGTTCCCAACCAGGATATAAGGTCACTGAACATGGACCAATGAAGAGCCACAGCAAATCTCTAGATATACATATAACAAGATGGAAAGTAAACCTAAATCAGAACTGAAGAATTAATTTTATCAATTGTCTGATGTTGTGGTCATCATAACATACCCAGAACAGGAATACAACTTGTGATCATACAGTCTCGGATAGACTCACAAGATACCTAACTCCTACCACTGGTGATACAGCCTTGTGTTGGCACTAAAACATACTTCCTTCACCCATTTTAAACTGCTACAGTTGAATACATAATATAAATCTCCCAGACCCCTTCCTCTCTTGTATACACCAGGGCATTTACATTTGAACTTTTGAATCTCCAATATATATATATATATATATATATATATATATATATATATATATATATTGGCGCACGCACACAAGTTCAGTTCAGGTCAGTTCAAATTTTGAAGCTATCCCAGAATTAGCATGGGATGAGCTTGACAGAAGAGTAAAAAACAAAATGAAAAAGAGCTCTTAGAGTCATTGAAAAAAAGAATAGAATTAATTAGCAAACTTATACTTTGAGACATTTCTTTTGCAATAAATACCAAAAATTTGTGCTGCAATAATCAAGGCTAAAGGAGGATATTTTGACAAGAGCAAAATTTAATCAATTTAATTTTCTTTTTGTCATAAAATTTCTAATAAAAAAATCATGTCTCATTTTTTTTTATTATTTTTAACCATGTCTAATAATCTCTTATTTAAAATACAAAACAACTATTTTAGGGGCCAATTTAAAAAATTACCAGGGATCACTTCAAACTTTTGAACTGTAGCATATACTTTATAGCTCTGTTTTGCCTAAACCATTGATTAAATAAATAGTTATTTGCTCACCTGCAGGTGTACATAATCACTCACATATATAGTTGATTGTATCTCTTTATTTAGATCATATCTGTGTGTGTGTGTGTGTGTGTGTGTGTGTGTGTGTTATAAAAATTTATTTTCTATATATTAACACACTGTGTATTTTCTTTCAATCCTTACACAAGCTAAAACAGATATACAGTGGGAACGGATGTTGTCATAAGATAACCTTTACCACACACTATAAATTGAACAAAATTAGTGCAAGGCAATGCTACAATTCAACCCTACATTAGTTGAATGAAAATGTCCAAATCAAGTTCAACTAGTCAAGCAATAGTGAACGTAGAAATCAGTTGGTAAGAAAAGAGAACCACCAGCCTAATGGTTGAACATTAGGTCTGTCCGGAAAGTATCCAACCGTTTTAAATAACTCAAGAACTGGATGTGCTATTTGGCCAATCAATTAAAAGAGACTTTACTACACATGCCTGAACAGATGCTCTGCCATGGAGTTAATCAGGGTGAACGTGCATATGTAGTGTATGACAGCTGCATTCACAGGGACAAATCAATTTCGCTTGAGAAGTTATTTCAATAATTAAAGTAGCTTTTAGGGATGATTCAATGAACAAAGCACAGTTAAAATGTTTGTACTGTCATTTTGAAAAGCTTTCAATCAACAGAATACCCCAAAATGTCTAGAAATGCAATGAAAGAAAGTTGGCAGTTGACAGTTTACTACTTAGAAGTTTTGGAATTCTATGGAATATCGGAGACACAGTGGAATAAATGATAGCTAGCGGCTCGAATTGAAAAATCAGAGAGCCGAGTTCAAATTCCAGTCGAATCCATTACATTCACTTACGTGCTAATACCCTTGGGAAAGGTATGAATCCTCTTTTTCTCTCCCCAGCTATGGGTAAATAGCAGGAAAGATCAGGTTCTATAACCTTGGATGGCAATTGGTCCACTGCAGAAAGAAATGGCAACTTACTGTGGGAAAAAATCTGTCTCGTCATTCATGTATTGAAAGATACATGATCGCCTAAGCATGTATTACGTATGGCACATAACTGACTGAATATCTAGACTGACCATTATTCAGGTCTTGAGTAGCTTTTTATTTTTTGGCAGTTTCCCAATAATCCAGCTTTGGGTCCTTGTGACCTCTGCATTTTCTCTAAGTTTAAAGAATAAAAATAAATTCACAGCCGAAACACAACAGACAAAATTAGGAAGCTGGTAGTGATTTTGAGAAAACAACCGTGAAAGGTGTGTACTTCCCCCCACAGCAGGATACTTTTTTTTTTCTCTCTCTAATATTAAATGACAAAATCATTTTCAAACAAACCTTGTATGTGAGGGTATGCTGAAAAATTCTCAAATCAACCCATGTAGGATAATGATGTCTCATTTCATGGATAAAAACAACAATACTGCTACTAATAATGATGTCTCATTTCATGTAAAATAGTAGTGTCTCATTTCATGGATAAAAACAACAATACTACTAATAATGTCTCATTTCATGTAAAATAGTAATGTCTCATTTCATGTAAAATAGTAATGTCTCATTTCATGTAAAATAGTAATGTCTCATTTCATGCATAGTCTATATAAATAAAGCAGAGTACATGTGGCCAGCTATTTTTTGATCTCAACAAACCTGAAGTCACACATGATTAAAAATTGCATATACAAAGAAAGATTATGCCAAATTATGGTGTCGAATAAAGATAAAATAAAAGGTTGAAGGATCAAAAGTCTGCCCAAACAGCAGCTTCTAGGCTAGTAATAATAATAAAAATAGTAGAAACTTACACTCATTTGTTTCTTGCACCAAGCAGCTCGTTCATCAGGCATAAAACTGCAGCTTGTCACCAGCAATGCCTGGATGTAGGCAATGTTGTAAAGAGTATTCACCAGGTAAGAGAAATGATCTAATGAAAGGAGATAAATGAGAAGATTTAGATTAAAAAAAACAAAAAACAGTCATCCAATCTGATTTGTATTTTAAATAAATGATAATTAATCATTTTTTTTTAGTAGTTAAAAAAAAAATCATGGTGCCAATTTTGTGGTTCTAACATTTTCAGTTCCATTCATTTTGCTTTATGAATAACGATTTCAAGTCGTAATTCCCAATCTGGCAAGAACTCTACAGAAATACTGGAGGAAAAGCGATAAAAAATCTTATTCCCAGAATTTAATGGGTTTTCCTCTAATTTGTCAAAAGATAATGGCTTATACATATATATCACAAACATCAAGTTTTACTTGCAGATTAGGCAACGAGCAAGTGTGTGTGTATATTGGCATGGACATATGTAAATTTGTGTACAAAAGTTTATTTGAGCAATAGTAATACCATTAGGCACAAGTATATATATTTTTTTTATTTTTAATCAATTCATCTCAAGAAAATCGATAATGGCACTAAGACATATGGGGCTACTGGGAGTGAAAGAGAATGAAAAAACTTTAGAAGAAATCAGAAACCTAATTCTAAACAGAAAACAAAGGATAGACATATACACCTGTTCAAAAGCCCAGGGAGGAGTGTGAACCTGACAATAGGTGACTATCTACTCCTATTAAAACAGCTGATAGAGAGTGTGTGTGTGTGTGTGTGTGTGTGTGTGTGTATATATATTTCTTATTACTATAAACATTATATGTATGTGTTTGAGTAGACATTTATGATTTAACAATGCAATTGTCATCTACTGGCCTTGGTTTTCAAGTCTTTAATATTTGGCAGGGCTCCAACATTCATCCCACTTATGTAGGCAAAACTAATTAATTAATTACTGTTTTCACACACACACACAGTTGAGCAATAACATTTATGATCAATTTGCCTTCCAGATTCTTGCAAAACATCACTTACATGATCAGGCATGGACACTCCAAAATGTTCCCTCTGGGAGCATGTACCATGTTAATAGATTTTAATTGTTGCGAGTTATATGGCAGAGGTTCTACAGTGTGATTTTGGTTCAACACATCTCTTCAGTGCTCAATGAGAAAGAGATCATAAGAGTTGGTGGCCAAGACAATACCATGAAGTCTTCCTCATGTTCCCAAAACCATTCCTATAACAAGAATGTTATTGTTTTTACACAATGTTGAGGGCCAGATTTTAGGATCACGCAAGTAACAAGTTATCATGCTACCTGGAGGGAGTTAATAACTCAATGAACTGCTGGGCAATCACCGTAGAGTAAAACAAATTCATTTTAAAGAGTGTGAGATGGACTGAAACAGTTGACAAAGACATGTACCCATATTTGGCTTGCCGGGCAAAGTGTATGAGAAAATGACCATGTACAACTGTCAACATGCACACAATTCACTCCTGGCTGCCAGAAAGTGTTTGGTTGGCATTTGTTTACGCTCAATTTCAGTGGACAGAAACAACCTGGTCACAACTGATTCTATGAGCAGGCCTCACGTTTGCTTACAATTGCCATTTATACTTTCATATCACTTCTCATATCTATAAATTAATTATTTTCTATCTTCTTAATTCTTGTTCTTTTATTGTTCTCTCTTATTAATAATGCGTCTTTTTCTCATATTCTCTCACTCAGTAACCTCCTGTATCTTAGTGGTTTAGTATCTCTAGTAGTTGTTGAAAGGAATGTGACATAAGATTGAAAAGGGTTCATGTGAAAACCCCAGAGAGAATTGAAGTATTGGAAGGGCTGCAATTTTGAAGTCATTCAGATGAAAAGGTTGTTATATGAGGTCAGGAAAACAATTATGAAGCATGATTTTCTTCACTGCACAGGAAATTATATGAAAGCCAAAATCTAAAACAATGAGATTTGAAATCAGTTGTTTTGGAAAATAAGATTTCATAGTTATTTGTTAAATGTAGCCATTTCAAATTGTTTCAGTTTGATAAGAACAACCAATCATCGCAGGCAATATTTGGGTTGTAGTGGAAATGTAATTGTTTTGAAAATGGACAAAAGAATTTGTCGAGGCCAAGTAATTATCGTTTGGTGAAAGGAAGGGTTTCTAAAAACAAAGGGAATTCTTTGCTGATGCAGAAAAAAATTTTGATATGCAAAAATTAATTTGTAAACAATAATTGTAGATTAACAAAGGAATGTAAAAACAAAAGCTATATTGTTTCAAATAGTTGATCAATTATCAAGAGTCAGGTGTTGTCAATACAAGGTCGATGTAAATGAATATCAATAAATATGGAGGTGTGGTCAGAGTTATGCAAGATGCATATAAACCATACACTACTTGAAGCCTGAGAGAGTTGGGGCAAAAAGTTGGAGCAGTTGCAGTTGAGTGAGACATAACTTGAGGGTGCTTGAGCCCGAAGATGGGACAGAGATGCCAGAAGAATCCATGTGTTCTGCTGTCGAAGAGTATTGCTGACATTGAGCAGAGACAAGAATTGGTGACATGGAATTCCAGATTGACATAATTCCACATTATAATGGCTACCCTGCTCCAAGTTTAGAAACAAGATTCGTTGTAACTAGATTCCACGGGAAGGGCTAATTTTGTGTATCAACATTTATATAAAACCATTAAAAATTAATCCAGCAACTTTCTTCATGATTTATTATAATTTGCATTCCACCAGCAGATGTATTGTTGTCCTTTGGTTTTCATAGCATGACTCTACCAACTCAATTCAGCACTCAAGTGCAGACAAAAGTTCAATCTTCACTAAACTGTGATCAATCAATCACAACATGGGACAGAGTAGATGAAGAAATGAAGCAGTCAACAGATAACAATTAGTTGATCAGTGCCAGTACTGACCAGCGAGGGGAAAGACCCCAGATAAAGTTGGGCTGATTGTGTTATAGCTTTATTGTTTTGCTTTGGGTGAAATGATTACAACAATTATCCAGTTAATGACAGCCTTGTAATATGTCTTCTGGATAAATTTACCCCTAGAATAATTCCAGTGCCTCATAGACTATGCAATGTCACATAGCCACTGTTATTCAGTCAAAGGGAGGAAGTACACATTATGTCAGTCAGTCGTGCGATACACGCTTAGGCACTCGTGTATCTTTCGATACATGACTGACGAAGCAGATTTTTTCCCCACAGTAGCTTGCCATTCCTTTCTGCAGTAGACCAGTTGCCATCCAAGGCTACAGAACCCAGTCTGTCCTGCTATTTACACATAGCTGGGTGGAGAAGAAGAGGATTCATACCTTTTCCAAGGGTATTAGTACATAAGTGAATGTAATGAATTTGGAATTCGAACTTGGCTCTCCAATAGTAGTCTTAAATTTATTTCTTTTGTTTTTCTTCCTAAATGCTGGAAACTTTGGCATTAACCTAATTGTTTTCATCAATATATTTCAAGCTCATGCCAACAAATGATTCAGTCATGTACTCATAAAATCCATATTCTTCAAGCGGTATAGGTAAATTTAGATTAAACAACTTTCAAACCACTTCTCATATCTATAAGATAATTTATAGATGGATACATTTTAAGAGAGGTCAAATTTGCTTAGGTGGGAATTAAATTTACTTCCTATATTAAAACCTAAATTTAAAATGAGAATCCTCCCCCAACTGAAGAAGGATGCAGTTAAGGAGTGCAACTGATGTGGAAAAGGATCAAAGAACAAAAAGAAAAATAGAAATTGTAATGACACTTTACCTTTGCTCATAGTCATTGGTAGTTGAAGAAGAAAATCAATCAGAAGAGCAATTGGATCTCGCAGGAGAATAGGCACTTGCCCCAAAGTGTTTGGCCTACAAGACATTCACAATTGGTAAGTTCCAAAAAGATATTTACAAAATATTCACAAGAGTATATGTGCATGGAAAGATTTAGATCATGCAGCTAATGTATAAGGTGTGTCCATGAAAATGTAACCAGCTATTTTGAATATCTTGAGAGCTGGCCAATAATGTTGATGTAATTTAGAAGTCAATTAGTGGCAACCTTACTAAGACTTGTCACAAATTCAATTGACTGGACCACTCATGAAAAGAATAGAAAATGATTTTCTTTTATTTTTTTTATTTTTTTAAAAAAAAACAAAAAAACAAACAAACAATTTTTGTAGATTTGTATTCCTCCAAGCCAGAGAATTTCTCAAAATAGAAAAATAGATTTTTTTCATTTTAAAAAAGGGGTCCTGTTCATAATAAAAATACAGTGTCAAATCAATCCTTGACTTTTTAAAGAGTTAGCTGTACTTTGTTTTTATATACAAATGTCAAGTTTGAAACTATGCCTACATCATTGATAACTGTATTATTACTAATCAGGAGAAAAGGACAACAGTAACAATAACATTACCAACAATGGTACTTTAAATAATTTTTTTTACTTACTGAAAATTAATTGTAACTTCATTGGTTGCAGAATGGTTAACTCCAGTGATGGCTGCCCACAGATCAGTATAAGGAACCGTAGTTAGAGATTTTGCATAATGACTTAATACATGAAATAGGGGCCCTAAAATAGAAAAGAAAAAAATCCAAAGTAAAGCTTCTGTTAGATTGGGATGACAAATTCTAGTCATGTAAACAGTGACAAGAACATTTATTGACCAGCATTTTAGTGAATCCAGTAAACAAATATGACATTTATCCTATCAAGATCAATAGTCAAAAAAAAAAAAAATTCAGTATTAATTATAGGTTTCTATCTCCATTATGGGGATGATGGTTAAATTAAGACCAAAAAATCCAGTAATAATTAGTTTTCTATCTCTAACTCATTAATGACAATTGTCCTGTTTGGGGAATGCTGGGTATTTATAGTTAAATTAAGAATTAAAAAAAAAATAAATAAAGGGGCCGGGCTTTTATTTTCTATATATGTATATTTTTCAGTTTAAGAATGTACCAGGAGTTCTTGATCTGAGACTGAACATACAGATTCAATTAATATTGAGAGTTTGCCTTATAAAAATAATAATGAAATACTTACTGAAAAATTTGGGTTTGCATGCAAGTGGTTCATTGTTCATAAGTTTATTTTCATAATGAAGCAGTTCCATCTCAAGATTTGTCCTGCAGAGTGAAGAAGACAGATTTCCGTTTTTAACTTTTCTAAACAAAATAGATTCTTATATACCGAGCGATTTGGTTGTAATAATTACAGATGTTTTGACTTTTTAAATTATTTGACCTAAAACAACGCAATAACTTTGGATTTGTTGGTTTTGTTTAGTGGTATATCAACACCTCTATGGGTTATTTAATATCAAAATCAAAATAATCTGAACACAATTTTATGGCTTCAAATAAATCTATTTTTAATGCAATTGTATGCCCTTCAACTACAGATAAAATGCATTAATAGTTATTTTGCTTTAAAATCTATTGTTGGTCATTTTACTGTATGTGTTGTTGGTCCTTTTTTATATAAAGATGTATTGCTGATATTTTTACTATAAAATGTACTTTTATACTTTCATAGTGTTTTAAGTCACTAAGATACAAGGGGTTATTGAGTGTGAAGAAAACAGAGAAAACATTATTGAGGAGAATGGACAATAAAAAGAACAGGATTCAGATAGGCAGAAAATGATGATTGACATTGTATTTGAATTTTTGAAGATCATAGTTGACTGGAAAGCAAGAAACTGAAAGCGTGTTCCACGGGCAAGAAGTTCAAGAGAACTAACAGTTACATCTAGCAATTTCAATAGTAAAATGATAATACCTAGCTGCTGCATTTAAATTCATAAAGTCAAGGTATCAAAGAGGAAAATTCATCAGAACAATTGCCATGAAAATATTTATAGAAAAAGGTACAGAGAAGCTATGTTAAGTTTGTATTCTCTGGTGTTTATTTCAGTTATCTGTTGGATTAAGTAATCTCCTAGGAGTTCTCAACTGAATCTTTTATTTGATCCACAAAGATCAAGTGTTATAACACTGTCTGAGCTTGGGAAGATTTTGCATCAGTTAATTCATCCATAATTTTCTTGTGCTTCAAAATAGCATGCTTTGCTTAATTTTTTTTTCTATATGAAGATCCGTGGCAACATACTGAGCCAACATTTGTTTACTGTGTTTAGTCCTAAATTTTTGTAACAATATACTTAAAAAATGTACTTTGTTATTTTAGGCAGATTACATAGACTATAGTGTAAACAATTTTTACATGCACTGGCAACAAAAAAAAGTATTGCAATACTTGTTTTACTGCTGTGGTCTGGAATTGAGCCTGTAATATCTGAAATATATTTGTATAACTTTCATTGTTTGACCAAAGAATTAAACTTATAGCAAGCCACCAATATTCACTGGGCCTATGTCCTATAGAACACCAGTTTACATAGGTCAGTGTATAAGAATACAATTCTTCATCTTAGAAACTTAGACAAAAATTTAAAACAGCAACTTTCGTTGGATCATTTAATGTTGAAATTTTTTTTTTATATTTGAATCTATAACTATTTACTTGGTCCAATAATAGTCATTTGTATTTGAGTCTGCAAGCATTTACTTGGTAGGTGACCCCTTTAGGTAGGAGGTCATACCCCTCAACAATTGGCATATTCAGGAAAGTTATAATGTATTAATAAAACTGACTGGAACAAGATTGAGATGATTCAGGCAAGAAGCAGACATGTTGGAAGAACTTCTATCCATTGTAAAAAAATCCTACAATGTTCTACTTCAGCTAAAAGAGGCAGTTGCTGATTGAACAGGAAGATCATTTATAGAGATTCAAACATTGGCACTCCATCAAGACACATGCAGAGAGCTGGTCAGGTACTCAGCTGCACAGTGACACTATGACAACACCTGATCATTAAACTGATGAGAATGATAAAAACTATACTGAACAAAATAAGCCATAATTTCTGACAGTATGCCTAAACTAGTATTCAGATTATACTGAACAAGAAACAGGCTTTTTAGAAGACCTCAATATCTGTCTATATTTCTGAGATGAGGTATTACGTACATTATTTGGACTATTTCCTCATCTTTGTCGTCATATTTATTATAATGTTTCGGCTGTTGTATGCTCCGGCCTTCTTCAGGTAGTTGGAATGTCGAACTGAACCCCTTATTTCACTCACTGGGGTAGATTGGTACAAGCATATAAATATGCTTGTACCAATCTATGTATGGTGCATGCCATGCTTAGGCAAAAGAGAGAGAGAGAGAGGAAGAGAGAGAGAGAGAGGAAAAGAGACAAAAAGACACTGAAACACAGAGGGGGATTGGAGAAAGCAGTTGTTTGTAGTGAGGGGTTAAATCATGTTTTATGAGCTAACAATCTATTGAGGACATTTCAGTATTTTTAAGATAGACTATCTCACTTTTTATAACTATCTGGGAATGGTCATGGGTAATGTCCTACTAATTGTTGTTATTACACACACACACACTACAGTTTTGTAGCATCTTTTTTAAACACCTGAAAACATTCTAAACACTTGTCACCTGGCAATAGAAGCAAGAAAGAGTCGAATGCTATCCTGGGTCTTGTACTGTTCACAGCATCTTTTGTATATGGAGTATGTGGCTTTGGTAAGGTCATCCAAGATGCTGGACTGGAACAATGAAGATACCTGAAAAGAAAATACAAAAATGAAATATTATTCACAATATTAATATGAAAAACACATTAATTAACCATAATTCATTATCATTATACTTCTACTAGTTTTCAAAATATACAAAGTGACTTTCTTTTCTTTGTTTTATGGTATATCAACCTTTTTCCATGTTATTTAACACATTGATAGCCAAAGGTCAATTATGAAATCTGACTTCAAACACCAACTTTATAATAGCCAACCAAATTTCTTTCAGGAGTTGATTTATAGTTTCAACTGAAGTATTAACATTATTTTCACACAAAAAGTAACACTGAATAAATTTTTTTGTGATGCCAGCAGATGAAAATATATTAGAAAATGCCAAGCATGAGATACACAGAAGAGATGTATTTAATTAGAGAGTCCAGAATCAAGGATCAAAATTTGTTTTCCATTCTTTCTTTTACTAAAAAAAGCAATTGTCATGAGCACATGCACAATGTGACTTCTGATGGCAATTGGTTGTATTATATTTTACTTAGGGGTTTCACAGTAAGGGGGGGGTCATTAAATATGCACTCAACACTTTTCAGATTTTTACTTGGACATAATTTTGAAAAGCATGAAATCAAGCTGCATGAGAAACTGGAGAGCTGAGATTGAATTCCAGTTGAGTTCATTACCTTCACTTAGATGCAGGGAAAGGTATAAATCCATCTCTTCTCACCTCAGCCATGGGTTAAATAGCAGGACAGACTGGTCTCTCTAATCATGGTTGGTAATCAGGCTTGGAGAAGGACAATGCTGAATCCAAAACTGTGTGTGGTTCTAGGACAAAATCACAGGTTGCCCTTTGGCAAGCCACATTAATCAGAAATTACCTACGCCAGGATTATAGTAAAGACATCAGCAGTGGAATGTTGGATATGGTCAGAATCAGATGTGAATTGCAATGGGGTCATGCAAAAAAGATCCTTCATACTGGACGATGGATGAGACATAATTATTCCAGATTGAAAATGCAGCAAAATCCATGTTTCAACTGAAATGCCTATGATGACACGTGGGGACAACCTAGTTAGTTTGGATTAGAAATAAATCCATTAATTCTTTAGGAATTGCTTAATTTAGCTTTTAGGTACAAAACTGAACAGATATGGGCTTTTGAGAAAAATAACCTGAGTGAAGAAGACATGCATTCCTTAAAAAGGGAAAATAGAGCTTTGCTTAATTGTGATGTTCTTCATAGTAGAGTGGTAAAGTATGCCAGATCAAAGGAGAACAGGTTCAATCCCTTCTGGAGAACACATTTTCATTATTAAAATTTCTTTGTTGAATCCACAGGCTGATAGACATAATACACACTGTTTAAAATAGAAATGGGGCATCTATTTCAAATACAAGCATCCTCTATATTGTTTGAAGTAATAAAAATATCAGATTAAAAATAAATCCATTAATTCTTTAGAAACTGCTTAGTTATACATGTAAATTTGTCTTTGATACACTATTGTTAAGCAATGTATGATGCTGGTTCTATCCTGGAAAAGAACACTAAATTTATGAATATATCCTGATCAGGTGTAGTTGTAAATCAAAGCAAAACATGTCTAATTAAAATGCTCTGAATTTTTTTTCCTTAGTTTCTGTTATACATAAGAGAAACTGTGATGTTATGGAAAAGGTTCAAATTTACACAGACATAGCATCATTGGAATAAAAACAAAAATTAGACAAGAAAGTCTAATTGGCAGTAAAGAAGAACCTGCGATATCAGATAATGACCATCTGGAATGGTGCAAAGAAATGGTGACTTTACAATTTTCTTTTTTTTTTTTTTTTTTTACACAATGATTTTTGCACTGTACAAAGCCCAAGAGCCACTGGAAAGTGAAGTTTACAGAGTAAGAGGCCCAGTTTATGGGTATACAGTGTGCGATAAGTATTTTTAATTTCACACATGAGCATTGTTTGTTTTTGACTTTGTCAACTGCACAGTATAGTAGGGTCAGTTGGGCACCGTCTGTAAGAAAAAAAAGCACCATGACACAATTCACTCCACTAGAATTTTGGAAACTGTATGCCATACTGCTTGGCATGCATGCCAGAAACTCCAATACGAACATTTCAAAGTGTTTGGGTGTCAATCAGTGCAGAGGATTCAGAAAAGAGTTGGATGATATATCCAGTCAACATCATGGTGTTTGAAGTGGTCACTAGTGATGGCAATGTTATGCCTCCATTCATCATCCCATAGGGCCTCAGACTCAACATGGAGGCTTACAGGAGGTAGTGCTGCCCTGAGACCCAATGTCTGGCAACAGGATTCTACACCATGCCACACAAGCAGGAGAACCTAGTCATGGCTCTCAGATAATTTCTACAACCATATCATCTCTTATATATGGCTACCTAACTCTCCAGACTGCAACCTCTTTGATTATTACACATGGGACACAGTTGAGCGAGAGACCAACAAAACTCCTGATAATACCAAAGAGGACCTGAAGGCAAGGATTATAGCAGCATTCACCAACTTAAGCAAAGAGACCATCCAGAAGAGTTGCAGGAATTTCCAAAGTTGCCTGGACGCCATGGTTGAAGCCAATGGCGATTATATTCAATAAATTTACTCTTTAGTATTTCAAGATATTTTTGTGTAATTTTGGTAAATATATCTGTTAAAATAAGATGTCAGCGTTATTTTCATTTTTATGTAATTTAGACAAAAATTTATTCATCACACTTGTATGTGAAGAAGATAATTGTTAACCGTAGACTTGAACAGGTTGATTGTAATGACCGAGGAAGCATCTTCTTTGGAGTCAGTGCCATAAAGTAGCAGTTCAGAAGAGAAGCTGTTCGAATGGAACTTACATCTTACCAATATGAAGGGATTGAGGATGGTTCGTGTGTGACATGGCAAGTTTTATCCATGAAAGTTAAAACTGGTGCAACTAAGGAATGTAGTTCATTTGAACATGGAAATAATGATAGAGCAGCAAGAGGCTTGCAACATTTTGTCTATGGGATTATTTTGTGGAAAATAATTTGTCAACCACAAGGATGTGGAGACGCTATCATGACTGGATAGTGATGACTGGGAAGCTCCTGCGCATATATGGCACCAGTATTCCATTTTCAACCTGATCTGACTCTTGTAAAAGGAAAGTATAACAGAAGTCAGGTATTTACTAGAGTAATACAGGGAACTGAGAGGGCTGACATATTTACTAAAAGGAAAATGAAGGTTCAGCCAATCTGTACTGTATTCATTTTTAAAATTGGAATAAGAATTGAAGAATTTCTATCTAAAATTTTAGCTTTTAACCTTGGCTCAAAAATTGAGCTCTAATGCTGATGAAAATTAACAATTACTTCAGCCACAAGGCGGACTCATGTACAGCATTTCATATTAGCTCAAACTTAAGAAAATCGGAAGATTGTATAGCAGTAATCTTTCAAGTTAGCTGGGCTTGCCTACAGCATTCAAAATTTAGGCTTGAATGAACAAGGAAAATACATAGTTTATTAAGCTGAACCAAGTGGATTTGAGAACAGGTACTATACTCTCTTCTTTCCTTCTATATCAGGTTGTGAATCAGTAATATTTTGTCATTGAGATAACACTAGAAAAAAGTTACTCATAAGATATTTGCAAATGAGAATACGACTACTTTGCTATTATTTGTTCAAACTTTTTAGAATGGAGAGGAGGAATGCAGATGCAGACACAACAGAAGTAATATTTAAATCTCATTGGTGTGTGTGTGTGTGTGGGGGGGTCCTAAACACTCCAGATGCAGACATGATAGAAGAATACAAAAATACAAAGCAAAAATATCCAGATGGGAAAACAAAGTAAAAACTTTTACACGAAGAAGGGCAGATGTGTGGGGAAAAAAATTCTCCAGATACAGACTCAATAAAGGATACAAAAGTACAATGTAAAAATTATATCCAGATGAGAAATAAATCCGAAGTGATTACGATATATATTCGAGTATAGCGCAAGTTTTTATGATTAGTTTTTTTTATATCTAAAAACTAGGGGGTGGCACTATACACAAGTAATTTTTTGAAGAGGTTAAAAATCATGCATTTCCAGTGACCAGTTGCACTATACACAGGTAAATTTTTTTTCTAGAGGGATTAAAATTCATGCAAAAAAAAAAAAAATTCAATGGTTGTACTATACACAAAGTCAGCTTATACATGAATATATACAGTAATTTTACAGAAAGAGGTTCAGGGACAACAAACATGTTTCGGTAAAAGACTCACAGTTGATTCTGACTGCTGTCGCATCATCCTCTCCACATCCTGTGCCATTTTCTGTAGATCACTGACATCGGGTTGCAGAGTCAACGGTATTTTCTTGGAATCAGGAATCATTGGAATAACAGCATTGGCTAACTGCCGGCACAAAGGACACCAGTATTCACCGTTATTTACAGCAAGAGTTTGTTGAAAGTATGGACCCTGTTAAAAAACAAAAAAAGTCTAATGTTATATACAAAGATTAAAGGCTAATTACCTTTAAGCCTGTGACACATAGATCTGCAGTGGTTGATAAAACAAGAGAAGGAAGGAATAGAAGAGAGTCTACTAACTGAATGATAATTGTTGAAATTGCAGGAAGATGGACTGAAAATTTAAGAAAATTAAAAACAAAATGCATTGAAAAATCATGTTTTGAGATAATTCCAAAGAGAATTGAACCCAGATTTAACTAGCCAAAATTACTGAACAAACCCAAAAATCATGTGTTGTTAATAGAGAAATCTGGGTGGTCGGTGAAATAGCATTCATGATTCCTCTGGGTCAGATAAAATAAAAAACATGTTTTGAATCAACCACCCAGAAGAAAAGAACCCCTACACATTTGTCGTTACAATTTTGGCAACATTTGTCCAGTGAAAATTTTATATCCAAATATTAATTCAGATTCCCTTGGATACAAGTGGTAAATTACTATTTTGAAGTGCCATGGACAAGCTGTGTGATCTATTCAATTATAAAACAAATGCATAAGGCAGAGAAAAGATAAACTTTCATTTTAAGGAGAATGAAAACAGATTTTTCTTTCTCCAATTCTTGAGTTGTCTGGTTCATCAAGAGGATCCCATCATGGGGCAAGCTGATAGATAATGACTAATGACTAATAATCCCTTTGGTCTTTGTTGTGCACTGAAGTTGGATTTATCATTCCAGCCCCAGGAAGCCTTGCTGAGGTTGGCTGTTGAGAAAGTGGGTGAAGGAAGAAGAAAGAAGGGAAAGAGAAAGAAAGATTAACACTGCTTATATAGAGCAATGGTATGAGGTGAAGTGTAAAGAGAGTAGGAGTTAAGGGATGGCTTCAATCCTCTGCAAACTTTCAAAAAGTAGCTGGACAACCCCAAATTTGGAAAACCACTTGAGTAAATGTATTTTTATATGGAAATTTAGAAAAGGTTGATGCTTTGGGTAGAAGACAACCAAACTTAGGCCCTAGTCAACTCCACCTCTGCTGGATGCAGGACTCCACATAAGCTGGAGATTTTGGACTCTGAGAAGAGTTGAGAGGATATTGCAGACAAAACAAAAAGAGAAAGAGAGATAGACACACACATACAGGAATCTGCATCATTCACCAAAACCTTCTGACCAAAGACCTTGAGCTGGATATGAAAACAAGAACTTAGAAATTAAGGTTACCACTAAAACAAGCTGCAGACTCTGAAGGGGATCCTAGTGTCATTTGATAAAACAAAAAGTGGGAAGAGTTAAAACCACTCTATACAACAAATCATATATAAACCAAATCATTATTACATTTTCAACCTGAGTTAATTCTTTATTCCAAATGATTCTTGTTTTTTTGTGTAGTTCACAAATGGTTGCACTGTCCAAGTTTGCTTCATCAACAATCTTTTGACTCTCTGAGATCAAAAGCACAGTGTGGCAGACAAGTGAATGGTTGTGAACAAACAAACACCAGCTAAGTCGAATGGGACCATGCCACCAACATGATAACAGCGACAAAAGAAGTCACGCTCTAACGAATGAAGTGTCAATTAAATGGCAACCATGGTGGTTTGAAGGAATTTACATATTTGGTTACCACTGATCAGGGTTGACACCAGTAGTGCACAAGCCTATCAACCACTCCTCCTGTTTACAGAGAGATGGTTGGCAGGACTTAATATATACTGATTCCAAAACCTTCAAGTGATAATCAGTATTAGCCTTATTCAGCACTGAAAACATGTTTGGACTATAACACTGAGCACACTGCTGCTTTCTAATCAAATGTTCAGCTATTGCTAAATCTGATGGATTAACACACATATGTAAATTGTCTCCCTTTCCTTTGCTAATATATTTGGAATATATTTTCTTTAATAAGGCTTTTGATGACTTTGGCTGGTAAATGTTAATGTCACTGCTTGTAAAAAGTGATAACTACTACATGTGTACCCAATAAAATAATGTTTAGAATAATAAGAAATATTATCAGATTAAAAATATGTTCATTTCTTAATTTTTTTTTTTTTTAAATCATCTCACCCCAAGCAAGGAGGGAATGCCACCAGTATGTAGGGGATTACAGAGAGTGAAAGTGAGAGAAAAAAATCTAAGTATAGGGAAGATTGAGGAAAAGACAAAAGATGAATAGGATTCAAGAAGATAGTGATTAAATTTAAATTTTTGAAGATTGTATTTATCAGGGAAGCAAGTAAACAGAAGGGAGTTCCACAAGTGGGAAGTACAAGAAAAGAAACTGTTGAAGTAGAAGTAGTGGCTGCATTTAACTATTTCAACAGTAAATAGGTGGGACCTAGATGCCAATCTAGTAGAATGCTTAAGTTCATGTAGTCAGGGCAACAGGGAAAAAAAGATCATCAGAGCAGTTGCCATGAAAATATTTGTAGAAAAGGCCGAGGGAAGCCACACCACATTGGTGAGAAAGTGATTGAAGTCAAGATGCCAAGTCAGGATCAATTATATTACAAATACTTCTTTGGATTTTATTGAGAATCTTGAGATGAATAGCAGGAGCACCTGACCAGATATGACAACAGTATTCAATGCAGGGACAAATGGCAGGTTTGTAAATGTGCAAGATGAACTCTGACAAGAAAAATTTTTTTGGCACAACACAGTGACCCAGTTTTCCTTGCAGTAGATGCAGCAATTGATTTGATGTAGTCACTTCACTTCAAGTCAGTTGAAAACATGAAGCCAAAAAGGTGCAGTGTGTTGCTCTCCAGGAGTCTAGTATCAGCTACGCTGATGGTAGGCAGAAAAGTTTCTCTATAGTGGTATTTGCTTGATGTTTCAGGCATGAAAATACAAGTTAGTAGGTATAAACATTCACAAAAATATTAACAAAAGATAGATATTTCTGAAAAAGTGTGAGTGAGTCTTGTTGTAAGGAACTCTGTAGTATAGCAATAAGTCACACGTATTTAAAAGAAGGAATAAAAGGAGAAAAAAAAAAGAGGAGGAAAAAAAAAGAGGAGGAAAAAAAAAGTGGAGGAAAAAAAAAGTGGAGGAAAAAAAGAGGAGAGAAAAAAAAGAGGAGAGAAAAAAAAGAGAGAGAAAAAAAGGAGAAAACAAAGAGAAAAAAGGAGAAAACAAAGAGAAAAAAGGAGAAAAACGAAAAAGTAAAACATAAGAAAAACTGGAAAAGAAAAAAAGAATACAATTTTGATTTCTGCAGAGAGATACAATTCTTTAATAAGACTTGATGATCCAGGCCAGTAGATGTTAATTTTCCCTATTTTTAAATAAAGAGAGATGGTTACTCACAAGTTTATTCACAAAAATAGTAATAAGAAAATTTGATGAATTAAAAAAGAAAGAAAAAGAATACAAGACTTGTGCAATATTACCTAGTATGGCAGTGAATGATGAAGAAGAGACGAGGCAACAGAAACATGGTTCTACAGAAGGATATTGAGGGTACCATGGACTGAATATGTGAGAAATAGTTTTAGAGACAACAGAAACAAAAAGGACACTTTAACTTTGAATCAGAAAAATGAGTTTGTGCAAAAGAATAGCAGATAAAAAGACAGGAAAAAACAAAAACAGCTCTTAGAAAACTTTTTTTTTTTGCTGTCTCTTAATCTTTGTTCTGCTAATCCTTTACACAAGCTCATTAGGTAAATTTTGTGCTGCTTTCCTCTATTCTTCTTGCCTTCTAAAATACCTGTGAGTGTCAAATTTTCTCAGCCCTCTTTTCTCATTATGTGTTACAGAAACTTGAACAGTCTTTTTCTGATTCAACAATTCTCAACAGTGAAAAATAAACTTTGTAGATGTTTTGCTCAATTTTTAGAAATGCGATATCCCTTCAAGATATAAGCAATCATGGCTCTCCACAAAATCAGTTTCTTTGTTATGTGTGAATTTCTATGCATTCTTGGATAATGGCATGGTTTCCTCCTGTTAACTTCACAGTTCAGAATTCAGTGTTTCCCTTCCCTTAGACCGATTATTACACAAGGTTAGAGAGACCAGTTTACCTTGCTATTTAAATCACAGCTGGAGGAAGAAGAGATATTTGTGCAAAAGCAGGAGGCTAGGCTGGAGTTTGAACTTGGCATGCTAATTTCACTTTCTGCCCCTATATCCATTACACAACCCACACATCCTCCAATGATTGCTATTCTTAAAAAACATCCTTGCAGAAAAGGGAATGAAAAAAAATTACATTACCATAGAAAACTTTTGGCAGAACTAGAAGCATACAAAATCTTATATATTTCAAATTTTTTATACAAAAGATTCTCTTAGCTTTTTGAGTTCAATAAAGGAAAAATAATTTAAAAATAATAAAAAAAAATATAACTCACCTTCAGTGACTCTATATACTGTTTGTGGCAGTCCATGTGAAGGTAGTGACCACATGACTGGACCAAGACACCACCTTCCCAACCAATATTTACAGAGTGGGTCACAGAGAGCTAAATTAAAAAAATATTTTGTTTTAAAATACAACAAAAAATAGTAATCCAGATATAAATAACAAGAGATTCTTCTATAGGACATTTCAGTATGGGGCAATAGTTAAAAAAGTAAACCTTGCAGATTATAACTACTGGGTAGCTCATACTTGTGGCCCAGTGCCAGGGATCAAACTCTCATAAAAGCTATATATATATATATATATATATATATATATATTTCTGCATTCTGTTGAGGTTTCTTCAAGACTATGAATTACTTAATTATAATTATTTCAAATCTTCCTAATTATTTCTCTCTGTATATCCTTCCTTGAACTGGCATCTAATGCTCTGGAGTGAGCAGCTTGGAGATAGTTGTCGTAGCTTGTGAAGGCACAATCCTATGGGTAAAAGAGAAACTCGGAGAAGTTTCACCACGGAATTTGTGATCGAGCGGCGCTATATCAAATCTAATTCATTACCTCTTTGTCACCAAAAACCGTTGGTACAGTTGATATAGCATTTGCCTCCTATCATAACTGTTCGGGTTTCAATTCTTGGTAGTGGATGCGCACCACTGATGAGTCCCAAATATAGGACGAAACGGCCGTCCAGTGCTTTCTGTTGAGGTTTCTTCCAGACTCGATGAATTATGAGATATTATATATATATATATATATATATATATATATATATATATATATATATATATACTTCCTTTCCCAGCAAAAAAAAAAAAAAAAGAAAGAAAAGCTAATTAATGATGATAACAAATTGTTTTTTTTTCTATATTCCTTGTTTGATGAATTAAAAAAAAAAAAAAAAAATCTATTCTTTACTGACAGTTAATTACTCACTTAAAAGTAACTAGTTTAAATGAAGTAATAGTTTTTGTCCTTATAGTTTCTGCATCTTTTGACTTTCTAGTCTTCTTTTTTCTCCTCTTCCACTCTCCGCTTGACTAATTTAAAGTACTTGGGAAAATAAAAATTATCTGAAAGAAAATTTTGTAATTTTTCTTAATCAATTTTCTACATCCACCAAGAAATTAATTCATGGACTTGAAAGGATTAAAATTAAAGTAAATAAACATAATACATCTAAATTATTTAACCAAACCTGTTTGAATGAAAATATGCTATATATATATATATATATATATATATATATATATGTGTGTGTGTGTGTGTATTTATGGCAGCAATCCTTCTTTCATACACATTTCATTGAATATGACTGACAAGGTTCTTTGATTTAGTTTTTTTATACAATTTCTCATGTGATCTAATAATTTTTTTTTTTTTGGATGATAAATTATATAAAAAACTGTCCAATTGTTCTTTTTATCTGGGCGCTTTTGGCTATACATTTAGCCATTTTCAAGGTTGAAATATATCAACTGTTAACAAGAAATAGGTTGTTGTATGTATATCATTATATAATGTTTTCGTTTTGAAAACATGGTCAAGATATTGTATCCATGTTCATAGTTGATATTATTGAGTGTTTCTTTTTTGTTTTCATCAATAAGGCTTCCGTTGTTTTTAGCTTTATTTTTTTTTTTGCATGTAGAGGATGCTATTAATTTTTCTGTTGTTAACAAGTATGTTATAGGGTCCGGTAGGTCTCCATGAGTATTTAAATGAGACCTAATTGAGCTATGGTCAGAAAGGCGTAATGTGAGTCTTCGTGTCAAATGTAGTATTGCCTATATATTTACAAATTTTGATTGATCACGTGAGAAATTGTATAAAAAACTAAATCAAAGCACCTTGTCTGTCATATTCAATGAAATGTGTGTGTATATTTTTTTTCTAAGAGGTGTGGGATTTTTTTAAAGACTTTGAAGACAAAAGAATAAAGTGTTCAAGATAAAAAAGACTTAAGAGTTCAAAGGTGAAAATTTGTTTACTTACCTCAGTGTAGGATTCCACAAGAAGTTCCAGTTGCTTCTTTTTAACTGATGCACAAGTCTGTGGAGGTGTACGTGTTTTTTGATTACTAATAGGCAAAGGTTGTTGTTGATCTTCTTTGGGGCAATGACCAAGAACTGAACAAACACAAATTCATGAATATATACAAAGTACAAAATATTTACAGAATAGTTATAGAGACAAAAAAGAAAAAAAAAATCATTTACTGAGAATTCAAAATGAAAGAATCACCAACCACTTTCCTACAAGTTAGCCATTTTGGTAAGAACCTATTATTCAAGAGGTTCCATAAATTTTACTATTAACCATTAAATGATTTATGAGAAAAAAAATATCAATTCATGAATATAAATGTTTTAGAACCATAAGTGAATCCTAGATATTTTTATTGCCTTGTTTCAACTAGACACTGGCCTTCATCAGTTGTTATGACCCACTGCTATTCAATTGAAAAGGTTTAAAGAGAGACTTAAAACTAATTGAATCAATTATAGATATAAGCAAATACTGGGATCAAAACAAAATCTAATTTTAGTAGTTAAAGCATTTCTTATCATTTATTTGATTTTTACAGCTTATTGATCTTTTAAGAGTTATTTAAAGCCAGAACATATTTTAAGAATAATTCTTATTTTGTGAATGAATACTGCATTAATAATTTGAGAATAACAATATTTACACATACAAATCTTACTATTTAACCCATAAACAGGAGTTGAGTCAGATTCATACTTTTCACAAGGATATTTGCGTGTAATTGAATGTATCAAATAACAATGTGGGGAAGTGAGAGAGCATTTGAAAGTAGCTATGACACCATAAACTCTTAATACCTCTAAATGAGCCAACAAATGTTGCTGCCTTTTCTTTGAAGACAAGAGTTGTTTATTTTTTTTAACTTGTTTAACAAACAAGTCATTAATGATCTTGTAACAACTATGTCCTACATTTCTCGACAGAATCTGAATATCTTTGAAACATAATAGAATAAGACAGATTTATAATCAACACAAATAAGTCACTTTATAAGCAAAACGCTTTTTCTGGCTGTTGGTTTAGTTTTTTTTTGTTTTTTTTTTAAAAATAAATCACTGTATCTTGTTTATGATAAATTTAGAATATCAAGAAAGCCAATGTAAAAAAAAAAAATTAATATGAACTGAATTCATGGAATTCTCTTGCTTATCTCTTCCAATATTTATTGCCTCTCCATTGTTTTATCTGAGTATTGTTGTAACATACCTACAAACAATAATGGGTATGTCCCCATTCACATAAATACAGTAGTAAATACTGTATGTTGGTCTGCAGTTGGAGATTCATTGTGAAATTCACTTGACTACTACTTCAATGTACCAGTGGTGAATCTTATATGTGTTGTTCTTGTCCTAAGTATTATCGTTCATTACCAACCTTCATTTGATTATTCTATTCAGTAACCTCCCCAGGTTACAACAAATACAATACAAATATGGATTAGAGTAATGAAAAAAAAAATACTGTTTAGTGAGAATGAGATCACTACCCACAACTAGAGTGCTTCACCATATAGCTGGCAGTTAATTTCTGAATATGCCCATCTGCTAGGGTGACAAGCAAATTCCTGTTGCAGATAATTGCTCGAGCAAATTTGTGTTTATTCAACAGCCACACAGCCAACTACTGATCCTACCAGATTGTATAAAGTTCAATTAAAAAGTATATGCTATAAAAAGAAAACTACAACACATATCAATTCCGCATTTAACCTCCTTCAAAGTAATCCCCTTCTGAAACCACACACTTTATCCAGCATTGTTTCCATTGGTAGAAGCATTCCTGGAACTCATCTTTTAGGATAGCATGCAGGTTGGATTTCCTCAACATCTTAAAATCTTTTTCCTTTCAAGTGGGATTTGATTGCTGGAAGAAGGAAAAAGTTGCAAGAGGGAGATTTGAGTAATATGGTGGTTTTTAGACCGCAGGAATGTAGCAACTTGGCCAAAATATGCTGCACAAGCTGCACTGAATGAGCAAATGTGTTGCTATGGTGGAGTTGGACACATTGGGTGCATACAATTCTGTCTTTTTCTGACGAAAAGCATCATACAAATGTCACAATATGTCATGGTAGTACTCCTTGTTTAGTGTCTGACCAGGTGAAGCATAATCATGATGAACAATGCCTTTGTAGTCAGAGAAAACTGTCAACAATGTCTTCACATTTATTTGACTCACTGATGCTTTCTTCTGTCATTGAGAGGTTGGTATTTTCCACTACAAAGACAGAGCTTTGGTTTCAGGTTCATAGCCATAGACCCACAGTTCATCACCTGTTATGAACATTTTCAAAAAATGGCTTGTTGGGATGACCACACTACACATTTTCCTTCCAAGCTCTGCTATAAACAAGGGAAGTGAGTGAGAACTTTACAACTTAGTTTGAATGAGTTCAAGGTCAATCAGTGCAAAGGCAGCTGCACTTTAGTTCCATTACCATAACAACACTCTCAATACTTTTTGTTCAGACTTTCCCAGAAACTGTAACTAAGGTCTGCTCAACAGTTGCAATATAAACCTCGGTCACAATGACTTGTGACTTTGTGCTAGCACAATCATCAACAGCTTCTGGACAGTTTTGCCTACCTAATTATACCCTGAATGTTTATGTCAACTTGTGGTATGGTTTTCAGGCACTTTCTAATGCTAACACATGCCAATATTATCAAGAAGTAATCTCCTTGACAAATTGACCATGGTGAAATTTGAGCCCTGATCACATGGCTTAAATGCTAACATTCTAATCACTTGGCCATGTGCCCATTTTGACCATATATAGTACCTGACATACTGACCATTCCAGTCACTTCTTCTGTTTAAATATAAAAGTGTAATTATTGTATTTTATGGCTGACACATAGTCAGGACAAGATGACTTATCCTTTTTGAGTTTTGTCAATCCTAATGTGGACCTCCTTTTCAAAAGCTTATTATGGGTGTTGATATTCCAACATTGTTGCTACTATTTTTTGGAAGAGTTTATTAATTCTGATTTTCAGGACGGTTATATCATTTCACATAGATATTTGATTAAAAGAGATTCTATGTTAAGAAAAAAATGAAAAATTCTTTGGTGCTACATGAGAGAATATCCTGAACCATTAAACCATATTTATAATAACAGTCATTATATAAAAAAAGTAAAAACTGAGAACAGACCAATTTAATGTTGCTTGCTATTAAGCTTTTAGTACCCATTGTTCCACTAGTGGAACATATTTTAATGCTCTATGCCCAGGCACTAAAAAGTTAAAGGTTAAATATTTATTCAAATATCATAATGGCATAAAACAGGAACCAGTTTTACTTTGTAATTATTATATTTTTCTTGTTTATAAGATTTATTTCATTGGCTACTGAAATTCCTTCAATAGCTGTCACTTTTGTGTCACTTAGACATCCTTTGTGCAATGACATCATTTCATTTAAGGCAGTGTAATCTTTGCAGTTTTTTAATGTTTTATATGCCAGCAAAAGTGGTAATGAAAACAAAGAAAACACAAAGACAAAAAAAACACATTGCAAACAAAAAAAAAAACACAAAAGAGCACATTACAAAAACAAAAAAAATGAAACATTACAAAAATCAGAAAAAATAAAACATTACAAAAAACAAATTGCATAAAATACAAATATAAAATGTTACAAAAAAACAAAACAAAAAAAGATTAAACACATTACAAAAAACACACATGCAAAAACCTACAAAATAAAAAACATAACAAAAAAAATTAAAAGACACTATTGAACACTTTTTGACCATTAAGTCAAAGCTGATGAACTTATACAGACAATAAAAAAAAAATTTCAAAATAAAAAAAAAAAAAAAGCAAAGTTAAAACACACCCTAAACTTACCAGATGTAGCCAAGAGTAGCACAACTAGGCCCATTGGCCTCTCTGGTGTACTTGGCACACTCCGACCACAAATTGAACAATGATATTCTTCTTCAGATGATGATTGCTTACAACTTTCACTGGGTTCTTCTGTCATTTCTGAAAGACAAACAAACAAAAATACATGGTTCACTCAAGTTTCTCAACCTGTGTCTATTCTATAGGCTTACAAAGTAATAATATTTTACATCTGGTAGATTACTTGGGATATTTTATTTCAGTTTATGTTCCTTTTTTATGATTATTCAGGTTTTCGATTTGTGATAAAGAGAAAATTTACATTGGTAAGAAACAAAAAAGAAAATGCATATTTGTATTTTAGGTTTAGAACAGAAAATATCTTGATTTCTGATTCTGCAAAATTACAAGAAATTAGTAACAAAAGAATTCAAAATGAAAATTAAGGTTTTAAAATGGATTAGACTTAGCTTAATCTAGCACAAGACTATAACAGGTAAAATTAATTTATGCAAGTCATAAATAAGAAATATTTGAAAATGCGTAAAACATCTAAATGTAACCAAACTAGTTTCTTATAAAGGAATGCCTTGTTATAAATTCAGAATCACATATCATCACTACTGGAATAATTCAATTCTCACTAGGTGACCCTACACTGATGGTCTTGTACCAGACTAAGTTTAGCAAACTGGACTTAGAAAGAAAAACAAAATTAAATAAATACATTAAAGATCACTACATAATAATGTGTACTTCCAAGAACAGTGGCTATGTGACTTTGCATATGAGGTGCTGGAATTGTTCCAAGGGTACATCGATCCAGAAGATATATTCTAAGGCTGTCTATAACTGGGCATAATTTTTTTAATCATTTCACCCCCTATCAAGTCAATAAAGCCAATAAGATGCAAAGGGTTATTGAGTGTGAGAGAATATTAGAAAAAGGAAACATTATTAAGGAGAGAACAATAAAAGAACAGGAACTAAGTCAGAAAATAATGATTTCATTTAAACATCATAGTTGACTGGAAAGCAAAAAGCTGGAAGAGTGATCCACAAGCAAGAAGTGCAAGAAACTGTTAGTATAGAATTTACAGCTAACTCTAGCCATTTAAGCTGTAAAATGATGAGACCTTGCCACTAGTGTAGTAGTTGTTTAAATTCATAAAGTCTAGGTACCAAAGAGGAAAGCAATATTTTGAATACAAAAATGTGGTACAAGGCTCAAGGAAGGGGGTGATTGGGGGGGGTCTTCAATCTGTCTTATCTTAAACTTAGCTAACCACAATTCCTGACCAAATCATACCACAGTATTCCTTACACCAAAACACATTCTTATTTACCATTCTTACTACAGCCACTATAATACCTCAAAGTCTCTATGTAGCCCTAACTAGTTCCCATACATATGCTTTGTCTGAGAGGTGGGGGAGATAAAAATAACATTTAAAAATGAAACTCCAATAAATATTTACAATGAATACAAATTATAGAGGAAAGCTCATCAGAACAATTACCATGAAAATATTTATAGAAAAGGCACAGGGAAGGTATGTTATGGCAGTGGGAAAGTAAGTGAAGCCAAGATGCCATGTCAGAACCAATAACATTGTAGATTCTTTTTTGGATTTTATTAAGAATCTCTAAATATATAGCAGAAGCACCAGAGCAGAAGTGACAGCAATATTCACTTCATGGATAAATGGTAGACTTATAAATGTGTCAGATTCTGGTGAGAAAAACTTTCTAGCAGAGCACAGTGAAGCAACTTTCCTAGCAGCAGGATTGTGCTTGTTGGATGTGGTTGCAGAAAATTTAGTAAGGATTGAAATATATTTTATACATGGGGTTTAAATCTGGTGAAATCTGAAACAAATGGGGTATCTGAAAATTAGCTTAGTGTCTTTGAAAACACTTCCATGTCACATACACAGGATGGTAGAGAGGTTATATTATCTTGCTGGAAGGAACTATTGTCACCAGATAACATAGTGAGCATAAAATGATGCAAGTTGTCTGCAACAAGCTCACACCTCTAAAGATAGACTACAATTTCATTGGTTCTTGCTGACCTTAACAGAGCACACCCAAGATCATTACTGTCAACACAAGCTTGTAGAAAGGTATCTGACTCCTCTTGCTATGCTCTATATTTATAAGAGTCAGATCAGACCAAAAATGGCATACCTAGGTTGGAGCATGCCAGTCTTCATTTTCCAATCTTGATAGAGTTCAAAAGAGTCTATGTGGCCTTATTATTCATTCTAACGCCCCCCCACCCGAGATGAAAGGTTGCAAGTCTCTCATTACTCTATTGCTTTTTCCTTGGCAAATATTTCGACTAGTTACATTCCCTATTTCCACCAGTACAAATCTTCATAGCCAAGACCCATCATATACTGCGACAGACCATCTCCATTCTCTTTGTATTCCATTAGTAAGAATGAAGCTCCATTCAGTCAGCTTCTTTCCAAGAACCACTACTTTGTGAAACAGACTCCTATAGATGCTTTCCTGATCACTATAATGTTAACTTCTTTAAGTGTAAGGTTAACCATTATCTTTCCTATATATCCTCATAAGCCACTTCCTTACTTCTTCCCTTTATGCTCATACAACAATTTCATTAAGTAACACTCTACCTTAAGTGGCTCTTGGGTTCTGCATTGAGTGAACAATTAAAAAAAAAAAAAAAAAAAAACAGCTGATAGTCTAGATCCATAGTCTTATGTGGTCTCCTTCAAACATGATCTTGACTGTCTATCAAAAAGAGCTAGAAATGTAACTTGTCTGAGCAAGTGATACAATGTCAATCACTCGTGTCGCAATGGCAAGGCTTTGTTGTCAATAATGCTGCCCTTCTTGGTTGACAAATACAAAAGTCTTGACAGACTGAACTGCATCGAATTGGAACATGATTTGATTAAATGTTTCCCTTCATTGTGTAGGAACTCTTGTCAGTTAATGGGACTCCTGCTCTTGGATTACTTAAGTGTCAGTTAATAAAACTTTCCAAGACAAACTATGATCTGGAATTGAAATGAAAGCAAAGATGGTACATATCCTGAACCCATCTTAAACATTTAGGATGTGGAATTAGTAAATACTAAACACTTCAAATACCTTAATGTATGAATTAGTTATGACAAATTTAGTATAGGAGATAAGCAAATTCAATATAGAATAGGCTGCAAAACCAAAACATTAACCTAAGAACTAGAGTAACATTCTTAATAGCCTCATTAAATTGAGATTTTCATATGAAAGTTTTACATAGCACCCATCCTGTTCAGAAATGTCCAAATTGTCAATTGTATATAGCTGCTTTGCCAGATCATTGATTGAAAATTGTTTCAAGTGAATGAATCCTGTAAATCTTAAAACCTTTAACACTCTGCATTATTCACTACTTTTCTTTCCACTGCATTATTTTCAAGGTTCCTCTACTGCACTACTTAATTTCAGTCATGGTCATTTTCTGTTGCTATAGCAGGATATGACAACACAACTGCAAAATTCAAATGTGCTATCCTTCATTCATTCATTCATCTGAGTCATTTGCAGTGGCAGGATAAAAATTTTGCATTGCAAACAAAATCAGCTCCAGAATGTTAAAGAGGACCATACTTCTTCAAATCTTGTTGACCGACACTACAGAAACACACACAAAAAACTGCACTAAATAATAGAAACATACCACTTGAGGATTTTCAACAGTAGCAGCAACAACTAAAATAGATGGCAAATGTAACTTGAGGATAAAATAATTACAATCAAGATGTTGACATTCCACACTACTTTGAACAAAAGGTGAGGCAGAAGCTGTCATCAATACTGGAAAAAGTAATAGCGAACTTGAGAAACTGATTTCTCTGAGAAATTGCGTTAATAAATTATATTAATAAATTTCAAGTGACAGTGACACTTAGCTGTTTAGTCAATTAATGCCAAATATTTCCTTATAAAGGAAACAACCAGTAATATCATTATTGATATTTTTCAGAAATTCATATATTCTTGGTAGACCCTTGCTGCTGTTGCCACCAAGAAAAACCTAAAGCATTTGCTATCATGAAGATAGGATGTCCTATCTCTCTAGAACCAACAATCATTATACCACTGTCATAGATGCCTACTCTGCATTGTTACCCCGTCATAGATGCCTATTGCATCACAAATTGGAAATCTGGTTGGTGGGGAGAGTGAAACCATCCAGATGCACCAAAGTTTAAATGAAAAATGGCGGCATCAAATCATGTGACTTTGATATCGGGAAATATAAGGTTATAAGTGGTGCAAAAATTCACATAAATATTTGGTGCCTCACTAATCAGCATTGATTAAGAAACTAGTCTCAAAGGGTTATTAGTATAACTTAGAAAAGGTCAGTTTATCATCTGTATCGTTTTTTAATCATCGTTAAAGGTTTTTACTTCAGTGTCCAAAAGTACTTGGTGATCTTGGTAGGACAAGAAAATAACTGTTAGCCTGATAGATAACTTTAATAGTATCTTAAATGGTAATATTAGTCATTTACCTACAAGGAAACATTTGACATTCATTGATCAAGCAGCCAGTACTACAGTTGGTTGAACTTTATGAAAACTTAAAACTTTGGGGGGGGGAACAGTTTCTCAAGTACCATAACTTATCACTCTTTCCAGTATTGATGGGAGTTTCCTTCCTAACTTTTTATTTAAAGTGGTGTGAAATCATAACATTTTGTTTAAGTATACGTTTCTATTCAAGTTACATGTGCTATCCATTTTTAGTTTATCAAGTGATATGGATTCTGTTATTTGGCACAGTTCTTTGTGATTTTGTAGCACCAGCTCACAATGTTCAAAGAAGGATGATCATTGCCAAGATCTTCAGGTTTCACTTGCTCAAAGCCATATATTATTCAGTATATATCTACCATCACTGGAGATAATGACAATCACAGTCTTTTTCCAGCTGATATATTCCAGATCCCAATTGGATGTATTTTGCTTATACACAAAATTTTAATATTTCCACTAGATTGCCAAATGGGATATAAGTACATTCTCCAAACGCACAATCAGATCTGTTTATCATAAACTACTGATAGGGTCTTACCTATGGCAACCTTGGTGAAAAGATTCACAATGTTCAAAATTCACTATCTTGTCGAAATGAATGGGCAATTTTCTAATTGTCTCTTAAAGTTCTTTCCATAGGATGGATTCTTACCAATAATCTCTTAAGTGGGTGATGTTATGAGCTCCAAGCATTGACTTGAGTTGAATACTGTTTTTGTGAATTTGGTGGTGACTATGTCGTGACTTAATGTATCAATGGACTTTCCACTATACTCTTTGGATCCTGATTAGGTGATCCTGCTCTTGATTGAGAAAAATGAAAAGGGAATTTTTGCTCCTGTTTCTAATTTCAATAATAGGCAGTTTTTTTTTAATTTTGTTTTTTATAAGAATTGATATTTATCAACTACTGTATATACTCCTGTCTAGGCCTACTTCATATATAGTCTGAGCCTTGAGTGTTTTTTGTGAAAAACCAGATTCTTTCCATATAGCTCATGTATAAGGCAACCCCAGCTTCTGAGCAATACTAGTAGGCATACTGAAGTCAAATATTGCAGTACTGGGCATCATCCTGGAGATATTTTATAGCAAATAAATGATCTACATTTTTTTTTTGTCATCAAAAAATTATCATAAAATCTCACACTATAGTCAAGTATATACTGTATTTTGCACCGCGGGAATTTGGAATGAAAAACATCACAAGAACATACCCCCCCCCACCGCCAATTGAAGGTCAATTTTTTCTCAGATGCATAACAATGTAATTATTTTTGCAAGCTGGAAAATGTAAATTTGTTATACTCAATTCAAACTTTAATTTTCAACCATTTAGTCTTAAGGAATAAAAAGGTGGGCAGAGACTTACCATCCATGTCCATGGCCTGCTCCATAAATGCCTTTTGTTTAGAGGCAAACTCTTCCATCAATTTTTGACGACGTTCTCGAGCTTTCTTTCTCCTTAACAAAGGAAAAAAATTAATAAATACTAATGAGGAAAACGGTCATTGATATTATGCAAGCATTCGGATTGAAACGTTTTCATTGAATAAGAGGGGGGGACAGAAATGTTTAAATTTAAGTCCATTTAGATTTAAATGCTGATGTACATTATAAAATAATGTAATAGTGTGTCTTTAAAAGGATAAACCCAAGATGTTACAAAAGATAAAGCAAAATAGTATATCTATTAATATATATTTTGGAAGTGAGAGAGAGATTATATATATATATATATATATATATATATATATATATATATATATATATATATATATATGCATAGTAGAGAAATGGATAGCAGCTCGGATTGAGGAATCAGGGAGCTGAGTTCAAATTCCAGCTGAGTTCGTTACATTCACTAATGTGCTAATATCTTTGAGAAAGGTATGAATCCATCTTTTCTCCCCTAGCTATGGGTAAATACTAAGACTATAACCTTGGGTGGCAACCAGTCTAGTAGAAGGACAACCTGAGGATGGTCATTTGGGGGATCTGGTTCCACGAACTGAGCTGCTGAACACTAATTTATCGAAAAATGATGTAAGTCCTCCATATATATATATATAAAAACAGATTTTTAGTGGTACATAACTTGAGTATTGATTTAAAGTATTAAGTTTAACTTTATCTTGTCATGAATAACAGAATTGACAAAAGTGCATGGATACCCATTATCGCATAAAGTCCTCATTATAAAACTAATCTTATTGTTGAGGAACTTTTCAGAACAGATCATCAATGCCCTATGCATTAAAGTTTTTATAAGGTTTATTTTGCACTTCTTAGGGCAAAAAGAATCCCAACATGTGTAAAAACCCGAAAAAGTAGACTTTCTATAAACTGAGATACAAAAAGATGTGTATGATGCACCAATACATCCAAGAAAGCAAGTTTAAAGTTAACCTCTTTCACAACGGTAAACCTCAGAGAACAATGAAGATTATTAAGGAACAGAGAAATTGATCAACCTCAGCTCCATCATTAAATAAGCAAAATGTATCATCGACAAAACGACACAAAGCGGGACATAATGGATCATTAAATAATCTCTCCTCATAAAACCCGACAAATATATTCGCCAATGCAGGCTTCCAAAGAGGAACCTATGGCAACACCATCAATTATATTATTGAAACTAAATTCGACAGACGAAATTTGGCAAATTTCATCAATTCCACAAAAATTACTTCAGGAACATCTGGAGGGACAAAGAACTGTGATAAAAGAAAATTGCAGCAGATATTAATTGTTTCCATGAGGGGAACACAAGTACGAAGACATGAACTTGTTAGAAGAGGGACAACTTTTAATAAGCTCAACAAAGGAAAATGAATCCTTTATAGCAAATGAGCTATAGTGCTGCAAAACAGGTTGTTTAGCAATTTAGCAAGCCATTTAGCCACCTTATGATGGGATTACCCTATCATCATACTTATTATAAAACTCAGGTTGTGTGTGTGGGTGTGTGTCTGTACGGTTATATATTGGATCGGATTTCCTATATTTTTCAACCGATTTCAACAAAACTTCACAGGACTACGTAAAATTACCTTGCGGTGGTTCTGACAGTGCCCAAAACTGGAAAAATACAATTGTTTTTGCACTTAAATCAATTTGAAAACACGATTAAGAGGCATCGCGAAAATGAAAGGGGGACAACTCATATCGAGTTATACTTATTATAAAACCCAGGTTGTTTGTGTGAGTGTGTGTTCGTTTATATATGGGATTGGATTTCCTACATCTTTCAACCCATTTCAACAAAACTTCACTTTTTTTTGGCAGGTAGAGTTTCTTATTGTCTTGCACATTTTTTTCTTTATTTTTACATTCAGAATGCTTTAAAAATTCCATTTATAAGACAATTGTTTATAATAAAATTCTATTCAATCGGTAGACTCATAACGATTGAAAATGTTTTTGTTTCAGTTTGGGCTTGACCAATTCGTAAAAAACTAATTAAGACATGCGTGTCTGTCAACCTTAAACAATAATCTTTGTCAATTTTATTTTTCAGTCTTTATGATGGTCGATACTTGATCTATCTCTTACTGTTACATCCCCGGGCAATGCCGAGATCTACTGCTAGTTGATAATATGGGTCTTAAAGGTACGCCCTCCTTATGGATTTTTGGAAGACCATGAAGGCAGGGTCTAATAGAGCCAGAGGGTCTAATTTCCTCAGAAATCTCAGTAGACAGAATCCCACTTTTAACTCACTTCAATAGTTGTTTCTGGAATTCTATTGAAGTGGTTGCATCACATTGTTGAACAGGGTCTAATTTTATAAATTTTGATGTATCATTTCATATTGATAACATCTTAGTGACATAGTCGGTGTAGTCCAATAAGACAACACCCCCTCTTATCAGGTCTAGAAATCACCAAATCACGGTTATTCTTTTAGAGATCTAATAATATGCCTGTGCTCAATTTTCCAATTTGATTCAGCAGTAGCAACAGGAGTACCAGAAAACAAGTGAGCAAAATTATTTAATTTGGCTCTAAGGTCGCAAAAGCATCCAAGGAAATAGGGACAAGTTTTGTAAGTTGCAAAAACAACAACTCAAACTGATGGAATGGGGGGAGGGAGAAACTACTAGAGACTGTATCTGTCTATATTTCTGAGATGAAGTATTATTTACACTATTTACATTATTCAGACTATTCTCCTCATCTTTGTTGCCATATTTATTACAACATTTCGGCTGTTATACGCTCCGGCCTTCTTCAGGTGGTTGGAAAGTCGAACTGAACCCTTTATTTTGCTTGCTGGGATAGACTATTCTAGCTCCACATGCCATATCTAATGGATGTCAGTTATCAGTTATCTCCTGTTAATTCCCTTCTCCAAGTTCTCCACCGCCTTAACCAGGTATTGAACTCACACTATTTGGGTCCTGTCACTAGATCTAACCAACGCTTTTATCCACTGTGCCATGTGTCCTTGAGAACACATGGCACAGTGGATTCCAGAAACAACTATTGAAGCGAGTTAAAAGTGGGATTCTTTCTCCTGACAATTCTATCTTCTAGCCATAAAGACGTTCTCCCCTCTCATCAAATATGTAGTTTATAAGTATGATTGCAGCTGCAGAGTGAGCTACAGAGGGAGAACTACTCAGTGGCTTGATGCTAGAATTAAACAACATGTTCCATTGAAAATCAGGAACTATACCTGGCAACAAAATGAACTCATCTGCAATGCTTATTGTTCCTCAATTTGCGAACATCTGATAAATAGCAGAAAGTGTGCTATGGAATTTAGGCAATGACTCAGATATCAGTAGCCTTCCAAGGGACGCAGTGTTTTTTGACCCTCAGACTGCAGACGGGAGCACAAGCGACGATGAGGCTCGCAGCGTCTCTCTTCGAAGAAGCACCCGGCGAAAGCGATCGCCACCTCCCTGTCAACTCTGTGATCATGAGATCAGGGGGGAGTGTGGGGAAAATAGAAATGGCTTACCTCCCAAACGCCCTTGCGTCTGTCTGGCCTGTGGGTTGAGAAAAAAAAGGGTCAAGATAGCGTCCGTGACTTTTTAATATTCACGGTCTCGTGCAGTCACGCAAAGTCGCGTTACCACGCATGCTAATGAGGTGTGTCTGGGTTCCATAAAAAGCAGGTCACTTGGAGAAATTGGCAGAAGGGCATTACACCCGTAGAATTGACATTTTCTTTTTGCGGTGCATCGTGTCAGACATTTAGGGAGGAAGAGTTGCGTCCATTACACTGTTGAATTTGACTCCTTTGCTACAAGCTATTGAGCCATTATTACATGTACAGATTCGACTTGAAGTTGATACCAGAGAAACGGCTCCCCCGAGCCCGTCTGTGGTCGAATGGTGGGGAAAAGGATGGCGAGGTTTGCCGGGCTGTGTAAAATTAAAAGAGAAGAACTGGTCATCCCCTCTTAGGCTCACCAAAAGGAGGAAAAGCTGTGTATCAGCAGCTCAGGGATGACGCGAACTTGGAGGAAATTAAGCAGGCTCTATACGTGGCATTAGAAGCGGACCCCTTTGTTGCCTGGAGGCAGTTCGTTCTGAGAAGAAAAGAAGGAAAAGATGAAGCGGTAGATGTCCTTCTGGCCAATTTGAGCAAGCCCCTGGTCAAACCGTTGGGGTGGAGCAAGGGACCAAATCCTAGGATCGCCTTTCTGGCAGGACTCCCAGACAATGCCAGTCGACTGCTAAGCATCATCAAGGCTCAATGAGCTGGGGTTAGAAGATGTTACTGGTCAGAGCCCGAATATTCTAAAGAAGAAGAAGAAGAGCTGGTCTCAGCAGCTGTGGAAGAAAAAAAGACCGCCAACTGAGGACATAAATGTGGACTGAACCACTTCTCCAGACTGCGAAGCAGTGCGAAGGATACGATAACCGAGGAACACGGAGACGTAGACGTTGTTACAGGTGTGACAAGCTGGGAAGAAGAAGAAGCTGTCCAGGAAACAGGCAAGGGAGAAGAAGAAGGCGCCAGTCTTCTCCTCAGATCGCCGCTGAACAAGACGCTACCCACAGTGAGCATGCGATTAACGGGCGGATCACTGCGGCTTGTAGACACCAGGTGCACTCCAGACCCTTGTGCACAAGGCATGTTGTGACACGTGGGAGAGAAAATATTCCAGTTCTGACTGTTGGTGGGGCTTGATAGCCTATTGTGGAGTGGCGTCATTCGCGCAAGCATTGGCGATGGGCCTGCAGTAGCTGTACAAGCTCTGGTCGTGGACGGAGGGCTGCTCAGCTATGATCTGCTCCTGGGAATGGACATCATCAAAAAATTGGGTGGCTAATGGCAGTTCTCCAGCACAACAAACAAAAGGTGAGGCCGGTTATTTCGACTATTGGGAACTGAACGCAGCACGTGGACCCCCTTTACAGCCGCTATGGGACGTGTGTACCGAGAAGCTAAGGGAATGGTGACAGGCGGGATCAAATGTATCTGTGCTGGATCTCTTAAAAGG